TTCCTTCATTTTGTGGAGGGACACTCACCCAGCCTTTTCTCTTTTTGTGCTGGAAAAGGAAAGCAAAGTCATGCAGCATGATCGAGGGGACAGCTTCTCGTCATATGCCGCTCCCATGTCTACGCCCCAATTTATTCTTCTAGGAAGTGGCCAAATGTAACTTTGCTCCCAAAGGAGGGACCAGACTAATAGTGCATGAAGGTCATCTGGGAGCATGGCTTGTGCAAGCAGAACAACCAGCACACATCTTGTGTAGCTTCCAGTATGATGTCACCAAAAGACAATTGGAATGATTGGGGATGTATAGAGGACATCCCGGTCCCGGAAGCATCAGTACAGAGCGGAGCAGCCCGCAGCTCGCTCCCCATCCCCATCTTGATCCCCCTTCCTTTCAGCCATCCTGGCTATGTCCCACGCCCAGGTCAGCCCCGCACTCCCCACTACCACATCAGGTGAGGGCCAGCCCAGGGCAGCTCTGACCCAGTTGCCTACCCTCCCCTGAACATCACCTTCGTGTTGCCGAGGACACTCACCCATCTCAGCTGCTTGTTCCTCTGAAGAAACAAAAAAAAAACGTGGGAGAGAAAAGAAATGTCTGATAAGAGGGGAGAGCTTCTCATTCTATTGCTGGACCCCATACTGTTTGTTGTGGTGCGGATACTCACCGAGTTCTGTATCCTTCCTCACTGTCACACAAAAGCAAACGAAAGCATGATGGAAAGGGACACCTTGCCTTCTCAAATGCCCACTGATAGAACCCAAATTCCTTCTTTGGGGGAGGGATGGGCACTCACCCAGCTCTGCTGCTTGTTCCTCTGAAGAAAGAAAAGCAAAACTCTTGGTGAGAGAGTACAGATTCTCATTACATGACAAGAACTCATTTTCTTTGGGTTTGGGGGCCAGACACTCACTCAGTCTTGCAGACTGGCGCTCTAGAAATGAGATGAAAATCATGGTGAGAGGGAACAGCTTTCCCATCCCATTGCGATGACCCCAGATACATTCAGATGCATGATGGAGACTTACCCAGCGTTACCTTCTTTTCCTCTGTAAAGAAAGAGAAAAGCAACACATGATCAGAGGGGAAAGCTTCTCCTGCCATAGCTTCCATTGGAAACATGAAGTTCTTTCCGTTGGGGAGGACACTCACCCCGCTCTGCTTCAGTTCCGCTGCAAAAGGAAAGCAAAGGCAATGCATGATCAGAGGAGACAACTTCTCATCCCATGGCTGCTTCACGGGAAGACCACAAGTTCCTTCATTTTGGGGAGGGACACTCACCCAGCCTTCTATCTTTTGTACTGGAAAGAAAAGGTAAAAACAATGCATGATCAGAGGGGACAGCTTCTCGTCATATGCCTGCTCCCATGGCTACGCTCCAAAATTTATTCTTCTAGGAAGTGGCCAAATATAAATTTGCTCCCAAAGGAGGGACCAGACTAATAGTGAATGAAGTTCATCTGGGAGCATGGCTTGTGCAAGCAGAAGAACCAGGACAGAAATTTGTGCTGCTTTCGGTATGATGTCACCAAAAGACAAGCAGAAGTGAATGGGTACGTATAGAGTACATCCTGGTCCCGGAAGCATTAGTGCAGAGCGGAGCAGCCCTTCAGTTCGCTCCCCGTCCCCATCTTGATCACCGTTCCCTTCAGCCATCCTGGCTATGTGCTATACCCAGGGCAGCCCCACACTCCCCACTCCCCCATCAGGGTGCGGGGCCAGCCCAGGGCTGCTCTGACCCAGTTGCCTACCCTCCCCTGAACATTGCCTTCGTGTTGCTGAAGACACTCACCCAGCTTTGCTGCTTGTTCCTCTGAAGAAAACAAAAAAAAAAGACAGGGAGAGAAAATAAATGTCTGATGAGAGGGGAGAGCTTCTCATTCCATCACTGGACCCCATAGTGTTTTGTTGTGGTGGAGGATACTCACTGAATTCTATATTTTTTCTCACTGTCAAACAAAGCAAAAAGAATGCATGATGGAAAGGGACAACTCCCATCCCACACTGCCCACCAATAGGGCCCAAATGCCTTCATTTTGGGGAGGACACTCACCCAGCTGTTCAGTTAGATCCTCTGCATAAGAAAAGCAAATACTTGGTGAGAGAGTACAGATTCTCATTACATGATGAGAACCCATTTTTCTTGGGTTCAGGGACAGAGACTCACTCTGTATTGCAGATTGATGCACTGCAAATGAGAAAGAAAATGGCATGCTGAGAGGAGCAGCTTCTCATCACATTGCGACACCTCAAATCCCTTAAGATTTAAGGGACACTTACCATCCTTTGCACGGTATTCCATCTGGAAAAGAAAGAGAAATCCTTGGAGTGCTCTGTCCCAGTTGCCCACCCTCCCTAAATATCACGTTGGCCTTGCCCTGGGGCCCAAGCACATGGACACTCACCCAAATCTGCTGCTTCATCCGCTGGAAAGGAAAGTAAAGCAAGGCAGGATAAGAAGGAGAACTTCTCATCTGATTGCTGCTTATGGGAAACATTGGGTATACGAATGCAGACTTACCTAACTTTCGAACTTTTTAAATGTTAAAGGAAAGAAAACTCAATGTGTGCCCAGAAGGCAGTGCTTCACATTCCATGGCTACTCCCATAGCTAGCCCTTAATTATTCTTCTGAGGTGAGTGTGCACAGAGCACCTACCTCCGAGTTTGGGTGGGACCAGACAAACAGGGAGCAAGGACCCAGCTTGGAGCAAGGCTTGTGCACGTGGAGCAGTAAGGACAGACACTTGTGCAGCTCTCTGCACCGTGCCACCAAAACACAAGGGGAAGTGAATGGGGACATGGGAGGACGTCCCTGTCCCAGAAGCATCAGTGCAGAGCTGGCAGCCCCACAGCTCGCTCCCCGTCCCCACCTTGATCCCCGTTCCTTTCAGACATCCCGGCCCGGTCCCATGCCCAGGGCAGCCCCAGCTCCAGCTCCCCACTCCCACCCAGGCTCCAGCTGCTCCTCCAGCACCCACGAGCCACCAGCAACAAGCCCCCAGAGCCCACCCAGACCAGGCCCCCCACACAGACACCACTTCCCCAGGGGCTGGGGCAGGGACTGCAAGGACTCACCCAGCTCTCGTCTCTGTGCCGCTGAAAAGCAAAGGCGGAGGAAGAGGTGGTGAGCAGAGCAGCTTGGTTGCTGGGTGGGAACATGTGAGGGGGGCTGCGCCTTGCCACCAGCCCCACGCTGCAGCCATGCTCCCTGGCCTCCCACCCAAGACGATCCTAAGGCCTTTGGCATCCCCAGGAGAACATTCCCTTCCTCCTCCTATGCACCTCCCTGGGCCAGGGCTCAGCCCCGCTCCACACCAGGGGGGTCCCTGCAGAACACCTCCCTGCGCTCCATCCCTGCGCTGCCAGCTTACCTTGCTTCGAAAGAGATAAACACCGAGGCCAATGGACACAGCCAAAAGCACGAGGACCAGAGCCAGAGCCACCTTCCAGGGCTGGGCGTTGTGGAAGATTGCAGCTGTGAAAGGCACCAGGAAAGGGTGTATTTACATCGCTGGGATTAGGAAAGCAAGACCCAGACTTCTCCTGGTTAGGACAAGTGCAGGGGCCAGGAACACCTCACCCTGGCTGTGCCATTTGTACCTGCAATGTTCAGGGATGATTCCCGTTCCTGCTGCAGGCGGCTGTTCCTCACCACGCAGGACAAGGCCCCTCCATGCTCCCGGTCACAATGACGGCGCCTCCGATTTCAAGAGCCCCTCCTGGTCTTGGGAATGTGTCTGGGAGACCGAGGGCAGGTGCTGCCCGCGAGCATCCCTCCACAGCAGCTGCGGCAGTGGGTACCAGCCGGCGATCGACACAGCACCCGGACGCCTCCGGCCTCGTAGCCCCCCAGGGAGAGGTGGGGGTCATGCCTGTGGCTGGGGGAAGAGCCCAATGGCTGGGGCTTGACTTTTGGAGGGATTGAGTTCGAAGGCAAAGACCCCATCTGCTCCCGTGCAGACAGCACAGACCCAGCCACCGCCCCCATGGCTGTCAGACCAGTTCTTCCATGCATGCACTCTTCCAAGCAGTTACAAACCATTGAGGGAATCCCCTCAGTCCTTGAAAGGACTCATTGATGGCCATGAGCATGGGACAGTGATCTGGGTGAAACAACAAACCCAGGAATACCTGCACAATCTCCTTGAAGCATCAATCCAGCCACTAACCTGACACCTCCAATTCACCGTTGCTTCATCAGAAGCATCACCATCTTTCACAATGCAGATGTACCGGCCATCATCAGAGGGCCTCAGCCCATGATTCGCAAGTCCAGGCTTCCAGCAGAGAGACCGTCTCTCACCAACTCTGTCCTCCCGGCATATGCCCCCATCTGCTCCTTGTACAGGTCCTCTCCATTGCGGTAGTGGTGCACTGTCTCAGAGAACTGTCCCGGATCCACCTGACCTCCAAGCTGTGAGCATCGCGTTGAGGGGACAGTGGCAGGGCAGCACGACATCCTGCCCCACGGTGGCAGTGACAGGCTCGTCTGGTCCCACCACTCTGAGCTGGGCTGGGCAATGGAGAAGGGCACAGAGAGGCGGTGAGATTCTGCCATCGTAAATTTAGGGGCAGTGAATGACGAAGTGTGAGCTGTGTGTGAGTTGTGTGTGCTGTGTCCGCCTTGTCCTGTTGGATACTGGGGCAATAGGAGAGGAGAGGAAGGACGTGTAGGAGAAGGAGGGGTGCTGGGAGTGGGAGCCCTCTCTGCAGCATTCAGGCAGGTGAAGGAGACACGGAAAGGCAGCCAAGGCAGCGCCCGTATTGTGTGAAAGAACCAAGAGAAAGCGAAACAATCTCCTTGAAGCATCAATCCAGCCACTAACCTGACACCTCCAGATTCACCGTTTGCTTCATCAGAAGCATCACCATCTTTCACAATGCAGATGTACCGGCCATCATCAGAGGGCCTCAGCCCCATGATTCGCAAGTCCAGGCTTCCAGCAGAGAGACCGTCTCTCACCAACTCTGTCCTCCCGGCATATGCCTCTATGCTCCTTGTACAGGTCCTCTCCATTGCAGTAGTGGTGCACTGTCTCAGAGAACTTGTCCCGGATCCACCTGACCTCCAAGCTGCGAGCATCGCGTTGAGGGGACAGTGGCAGGGCAGCACGACATCCTGCCCCACGGTGGCAGTGAGAGGGTGTCCTGGTCCCACCACTCTGAGCTGGGCTGGGCAATGGAGAAGGGCACAGAGAGGCGGTGAGATTTTGCCATCATAAATTTAGGGGCAGTGAATGACGAAGTGTGAGCTGTGTGTGAGTTAGTGTGTGCTGTGTCCGCCTTTCCTGTTGGATACAGGGCAATAGGAGGGAGAGGAAGGACGTGTAGGAGAAAGAGGTGTTCTGGGTGTGGGAGCCCTGTCTGCAGCACAGGCAGGTGAAGGAGACACGGAAAGAGCCAAGGCAGCACCCGTATTGTGTGAAAGAACCAAAGGGAAAGCGAAACCGAGAGGGTTTTAGACTGTGGCTCAGGTTCCCCCTGTCCCACACTGATCCCCTGCCCCACAGCAGCATGTCTGTCAGGCCCAGGGGGAGAGCCCCCAGCAGCCCCGCAGGATCCTACCTGAGCTCAGCCAGAGGACGAGAAGAGTGACGAGGGAAATCAGGAGGCCACTGGCATAGCTGGTGAGTCTGGGTGGCTGCACCCAGGAGAGCCCACATCTGTGCTGCAGCGGGAGCAGGAGCAGGAGCAGAAGAGACAGGGGACCAAGGGCTGCAGCACCACCGGCAGATGGGGAAGGAGTCCCCCTGGCCCGGCAAGGAGCCACAGCCATCAGCGCCTTGGGCAGGGCGCAGAGCCTGCACTTTTGTCACGGACTGGGGACACAGCAGGTGCAGCCCCCAGGGGTTCTTCTCCAATGGAGTACCAGCGCAGAGAGTCCCTTCCCTCACGGCACCCACATAGCTGCAGAAAGCACAAGGCTACGCCCAACTTCCCTAACCTTTGCCCAATTCCTGACTGCAATACCCTCTGGGAGCACCTTTGTCCCTGGGGCAATGGGAGTAAGTGTCTGGGGAGCTCTAGAGGCTTGGCACCACCATCCCATCACAGCTGGGTGCCCTGCCCAATGCCTTCAGCAAGCACAAGGCCTTGTCCCCAGCAGGAGCCTCTCCAGAACACCAGTTAATGCTAGACTTTCTCTGATAATTCGACTCCGCCACTCCTCAAATCACTCTGCTCCTGCTCCTTGTGGGGTCCCCTCATGGGATGCCGTCCTTCCCAAAATGATCCTGCGTGGTCTTTACTCTGGCATCCCAGTTTCTGCCCTTCCTGCCCGCCTTTTTACATAGAGGGACGGAGAGTTCTTGCACTCTAAGGAAAACATCCTTAGAGTCTCCAGCTCTCATCTCCTTGTCCCATAGGTGGTGTTCCAGGGGATCTCATCCTCTAGGTCTTTAAATAGCTTGGATTGCTCTTTGAAAATTCAGGGTCCTGCCTTGGCCCTTTGCCAGGCCACATTCCTGGAGATCACAAACTCAACCATGGCATGGTCACTGCAGCCCAGATTGTTCCAGTCTTGACCTCTTTAATGAGCTTGTCCACATAGGTGAGCGCCAGGTCAAGTAACGCTTCTCGTTGGGGTTGGTTTTTCTAGTATTTACCAGGAAGTAATCCTCAACGCGCTCTAGGAATCTCCTGGATTGCTAAAAGCAATGTAGTTTTCCCAGCAGACATCCGTGTGATTCAAGTCCCCCATCAGGATGAGAGCATGCGAGCACGATGCTTCTTGTAGTTGAAGCAAGAAGGCCTCATCCATAGGCTCCCCCTTGATCAGGAAGCCTGTAGTAGACTCCGGAAGAACCGTGTTTCTGTGATAGCAATCAGGTCATATTTGTCTAATTTCCCCATGGTTTCCAATTCCTCTTGCTTGTTTCCTGTGCTGCGTACATTGGTGTAGAGGCATTTCAGCTGGGCTGTTGGTCGTATTGCATTTCTAGAAACCCTTCCTGTTGTATTGGGACAGGTCACGAGAGTTTCCCTGCCGTTACTTAGAGTGATGGTGTTCTCAGCTATGCTTTCTTGCTCGCCCTGCCTGCAAGCACTTCTGTGCAAACTGCCATGCCATGCCCTGACCGACACGCCATGCTCCGTTCACTGCGCTCCTGGACTCTCACTCTCCCCAGGGTTCTGCCTTTATATGACAGAAAGGGGGTTTCTGGATCCTCCCATGCCTCATCAGCTGGCCTCACAAGGGCTGCTGAGTCCTAGCAGCTCCCTTGGATTCCTCGAATACCCTCGATGAAGGAAAACCCCTGCATGCCTCGATCCCCCACTCTGCTGCAGGACGCATCTGCCCTGGAGCTGATTGCCTCGTCTTCTTTTGTAATGATTTAAAATATTCCCACACTTGGAATTTCCCTGTTCAGAAGTTGACTTATTTAATTACACGGAGTATTGCTAATTCTTTTACATCGAAATTCATGCTAAATAATTCATGCTTTCACGCACAAAGCCAAATTTATAAATGGAGTTAGGAACGGAGAACTGTAGCCCACAAATGGGGTTTGCAAACTTGAAGCAAAGGCATGCCTGAAGTCTGAGTGCCCCCACCAGCTGTCGCAGGTCTCAGCATGCAGTGAGGTGTGCGGGGCAGCCTCTGGAACCACTGCCCCTCATTCTTGCCCTGCTCCTGCAGGACCAAGGAGACGTGAGCCAGGAGTGCAGAAATTTCTTCTCAGAAAGAATGGTTAGGCATTGGAACGGGTTGTCCTGGGAGTTGGTGGAGTCACTGTCCCTGGGGGCGTTTCAGGAAAGTTTGGACGTGGTGCTTAGGGACATGGTTTAGTGGGTAATAGTGGTGGCAGAGAGGTGGTTGGCCCAGATGTGAGAAACAAAGATGTGATTTTGCAGCAGAAGGTGTGTTTTTGCAGTGGAAAATGACACTATCCTTGCATACTTGGAAGGGATTTTTAAGTCATGACAGTGGTGTAGCAGTGATGACCTTAGAGGTCTTTTCCAACTGTACTGGGTCTGGCTGGGATGTTAACTTTCCCTGCAGCAGCCCATACAGTGCTGTGCTCTGCACTTGGAGCTAGAACAGCAGTGGTATCACACCAGAGTTGTGTCTGCTGCTGAGCAGTGCTGGCACAGCATTGGGACTCTCTCTAACCCTCCTAGGGGGTGGGCAAAAAAGTGAGAGAAGAAACATCACCAGAGCATGCTGACCTAAACCAACCAAAGGGATATTCCATACCATATCACAGAATCACAGAATTTCTAGGTTGGAAGAGACCTCAAGATCATCGAGTCCAACCTCTAACCTAACACTAACAGTCCCCACTAAACCATATGCCTAAGCTCTACATCTAAACGTTTTTTGAAGACTTCCAGGGATGGTGACTCCACCACCTCCCTGGGCAGCCCGTTCCAGTGCCTAACAACCCTTTCAGTAAAGAAATTCTTCCTAACATCTAACCTAAAACTCCCCTGGCATAACTTCAGCCCATTCCCCCTCGTCCTGTCACCAGGCACATGGGAGAACAGGCCAACCCCCACCTCGCTACAGCCTCCTTTAATGTACTTATACAGAGCAATAAGGTCACCCCTGAGCCTCCTCTTCTCTAGGCTGAACAAGCCCAGCTCCTTCAGCCGCTCCTCATAGGACTTGCTCTCCAGGCCCCTCACCAGCTTCGTCGCCCTTCTTTGGACCCGCTCAAGCACCTCGATGTCCTTCTTGTAGCGAGGGGCCCAAAACTGAACACAGTACTCGAGGTGCGGCCTCACCAGAGCCGAGTACAGCGGGACGATCACCTCCTTAGCCCTGCTGGTCACACTGTTTCTGATACAAGCCAGGATGCCGTTGGCCTTCTTGGCCACCTGAGCACACTGCTGGCTCATATTCAGCCGACTGTCCACCATCACTCCCAGGTCCTTCTCTGCCTGGCAGCTCTCCAACCATTCCTCTCCCAGCCTGTAGTTCTGCTTGGGGTTATTGCGCCCCAGGTGCAGGACCCGGCACTTGGCCTTGTTGAATTTCATACAGTTGACCTCAGCCCATCGGTGCAGCCTATCCAGATCCTCCTGCAGAGCCTTCCTACCCTCGAGCAGATCGACACACGCACCTAGCTTGGTGTCATCTGCAAACTTACTGAGGGTGCACTCAATGCCGTCATCCAGATCATTGATGAAGATGTTAAAGAGGACCGGCCCCAGCACCGAGCCCTGGGGGACGCCACTAGTGACTGGCCTCCAACTGGACTTGGCTCCATTTACCACAACTCTTTGGGCCCGGCTATCCAGCCAGTTTCTAACCCAATGAAGCGTGCGCCAGTCCAAGCCAAGAGCACCAGTTTCTTGAGGAGAATGCTGTGGGAGACGGTGTCAAAAGCCTTGCTGAAGTCAAGGTAGACCACATCCACAGCCTTTCCCTCATCTACCCAGCGCGTCACTTTGTCGAAAGTGACCATGGTCAATCATAGCTCATTTGTGGGAAGAAGAGAGTAATTTCTTTCCTCTGCTCTTCCAAATAGCCTTTATTGGATTTGTTTGTTTGTTTGATTTTCCCTTTCCCCCTCCCTTTTCCCCTTTCCTTTTTTCCTTTTTTTTTTTCTTTTTTCCTTTTTTTTTTTTTTTTTTTTTTTTTCCAATTTAGTTAAATTGCTTAGTTAACAATAACATTTCCTTACTATTTTTTTTTTCCTTTAGTTAAGTTATCCTTACCTCAACCCGTGAGCTGTTCTTTACTTTACTTCTTCCCCTCCTCATGTAGGGAGGGAGAGTGAGACAGCAGTTGTGGTGTTTAGCTGCCGAGCACAGTAAAACCACCACACCAACTTCAATGATTCTTTGATCGAGGGCTGAAGTCTGAGGCCACCTGCTGCCTCTGCTTGGAGGACTTCCAGGAGCTGGTGATGCCTCCTGTGGGCACAGCCTCTGCAGAGCCTGTGTGATGGAGGCTGGAAGCTCTTTGGGTGCCCCCAGGGCAGGGCAATGAACCCAGGTGGGACAAGGGGGTCCCAGGCACCAGCTGGGGAAGTGGGGGCAGCTGGAGCTTTGGTTTCTCCCGGCTCTGACTCCCAGGAGACCAAGGAGTCAGTCTACTGCAAGACGCCTTCGCAGGCAGCAAAGCCTCAGGACAGAAAGCACCCTGCACATGCCACTGCCAGACTCCATCTTCGTGTGCAAAACTTTATTTCACAGAAATCATAGAATTGTAGAATATCCCGAGTTGGAAGGGACCCATAAGGATCATCAAGTCCAACTCCTGGCACAGCACAGGTCTGCCCAAAAGTTTAAACCATGGGACTAAGTGCACAGTCCAATCGCTTTTTTAAATTCAGACAGGCTTGGTGCAGTGAGTACTTCCCTGGGGAGCGCGTTCCAGTGTGCAACCACCCTCTTGGTGAAGAACCTCTTCCTGATGTCCAGCGTAAACTTCCCCTGCCTCAGCTTAATGCCATTCCCGTGGGTCCTATCACTGTTGTCTACAGAGAATAGGTCACCTGCCTCTCCACTCCCCCCTTGCAAGGAAGTTGTAGACCATGATGAGGTCCCCCCTCAGCCTCCTCTTCTTCAGGCTGAACAGGCCCAGTGCCCTCAGCCATCTTCGTCGCCCTCCTCTGGACACTCTCCAACAGTTTAAAGTCCTCTTTGTACTGTGGTGCCCAGAACTGCACACAGTACTCAAGTTGAGGGCGCACCAGTGCAGAGCAGAGCGGGACAATCACTTCCCTCAACCGACGAGCAATGCCGTGCTCGATGCACCCCAGGGTACGCTTGCCACAGTTCCATTACTGCTGTGCCTTTTTGTGCTCCAGAGGGGGGAACAAAAAGCCCCCACAGGCTGCTCATGCTCAGCACCAGGCACAGAGCAAGGATCAACCCCAAACTAGGAACAAAGGCGGTCTGCAATGGCCGGCAGCACACAGTGACCACATCCCTTGCCCTGGGGTCTACAAGCAGTGCAAGAAGAGGAGAGAAAAGTGTGGAGAGCTGCTGCAGCCCCTGTGCTGCCCGCTGTGGCTCAGAGGCAGGGTGAGACCCATGGGTGCCAGCAGGGCTTGTGCCCCAGTCCAGGAGTCCTGGGTAGGGCAGAGCCCAGGGGCTGCAAGGGGCCTGGTCCTTGCTTGCAGCATCCCAGCCCTCCTCCAGCAGCAGGGAGGAACACACGGAGCAGCCCCTGGCCCCACTGCCCCTCACTCCTGTGCTGCTCCTGCAGGACCAAGGAGAGGTGATGCAGGAGTGGCTGGAGAATCACAGGAGCCCCTCAGGGCTGGGGACAGGGTCTGGGGGGTGCTGTCCTTCAGGCACAGCTGAGTTCCCTCTGTCTCCAGCAAAAACCAGGGGCGGATGCTGTCCCCATTGAAGGAGGCTGCTGTGAAAGTGTAGATCTCGACCCCATTGTCAGCGTTGATGAAAGACACCTGCTGCTGGGTACAGTCCAGACAGACCCAGATCCTCGTGGGGACAGGTGACAGGGGTAAGTGGATTCGAGATGTGAGAGGCATGAGCTGCCCTTGTTGGTACATCAATGCCCATATCCCATTTTTGGGGTAATTCTTCTCCTTTTTGTTCACAGATGCCCTGGTCACCCCCACAGCCCAGCAGGATTCATTTTCCAACTCCCCCTCCACCTCTACCTCCACCTCCCAGCAGTGCCTCCCCTCTTCAAACTCCTCATGGCCTAGCACGCAGCACCAGTACTTGAATCTGTCCTGACTGTTATGCACCTGCTGGCTTTTACTTTCTCGTCTCACACTCCTGTGGTCCTTTGACACAACAAGCAGGGGATGAGCCGTGTGTGGATCCAGGGTCACCTTCACTGCAGGGACAGAAGGAGACAGGCCATCAGGGGCAGAGCTCAGCCCTGGGCAGGCTTTCCCAGCTCGAGGCCAGGAGCTGCCCCATGGGGCAGGAGATGGGGCACCTCTTGGATCCTAAACATGCCCCATCAAGGGCAGGAGAAGCACCTCAGAGGGCAACCCAATGCACACTTACCTGTATTTTGAGGCAGCAAACATTTTCTCCATGCTGGAAGGAGAGGGGAGAGCTGGTCACAGCCCACAGCCGGTGCCCAGTGGGTGTGGGCAGGGTGAGGGGCCAGCCCTGGGCTGCTCTGTCCCAGCTGCCCACCCTCCCCTTATATTGTGCCTTGGCATAGCCATTGGCACAAGCACTGAGACACTCACCCAGCTCTGCAGCTTTTTTCTCTGAAAAGGAAAGTGAATATAATGCATGATCAGGGGGGAGAGTTGCTCAGCCCATGGTAGACCCGAACACATCCAATGACTGGGAAAATACTGCGTTGCTCTGAGGTGGGACCAGACAAATATTCATTGTGGTGAGCTTTGTACAATGCTCTTGTAAGTCAAAATGTAAAGGCCAGACACTAGTGCAGCTTTTATCTCTGTGGCACTGAAGCCATTATGGAAGTGAGTAACGGATTGTTGGAGATTGTCCCTGTCCCAGAAGTGTCAGTGCAGAGCGGGGCAGCCCCGCAGCTCGCTCCCCGTCTCCACCTTGATCCCCGTTCCTTTCAGCCATCCCGGCCATGTCCCTTGCCCAGGGCAGCCCCAGCCCCAGCACTCCCCACTCCCACACCAGGCTCCAGCTGCTCCTCCAGCACCCCCAAGCCACCAGCACACAAGCCCCCAGGGACCACCCAGACCAGGCCCTCCCGCACAGACACCACTTCCCCAGGGGCTGGGGGCAGGGACTGCAAGGACTCACCCAGCTCTCGTATCCGTGCCACTGAAAAGCAAAGGCAGAGGAAGAGGTGGTGAGCAGAGCAGCTTGGTTGCTGGGTGGGAACATGTGCAGGGGGGCTGCGCCTTGCCACCAGCCCCATGCTGCAGCCATGCTCCCTGGCCTCCCACCCAAGGCCCCTTGCTCCAGACCCAGGTGGGTCCCTGCAGAACACCTCCCTCTACTCCATCCCTGCACTGCCAGCTTACCTTGCTTTCGAAAGAGATAAACACCGAGGCCAATGGACACAGCCAAAAGCACGAGGACCAGAGCCAGAGCCACCATCCAGGGCTGGGCGTTGTGGAAGAAGGGAGCTGAGAAAAGACACCAGGAAAAGGGCTGTGTTTCCATGCCCGTGGATGAAAAAGCAAGACCCAGACTTCTGCCAGGTCAGGAGAAGTGTGGGGGCCAGGAACACCTCACCCTGGCTGTGCCATTTGTACCTGCAATGTGCAGGGATGAGTCCCGTTCCTGCTGCAGGCGGCTGCTCCTGACCACACAGGACAAGGGCCCCTCCACGCTCCCGGTCACAATGACGGCGCCTTCGATTTCAAAGAGCCCCTCCTGGTCCTGGGAATGTGTCTGGGAGACCGAGGGCAGGTGCTGCCCTCGAGCATCCCTCCACAGCAGCTGCGGCAGCGGGTACCAGCCAGCCGATCGACACAGCACCCGGACGCCTCTGGCCTCGTAGCCCCCCAGGGAGAGGTGGGGGTCAGTGCCTGTGGCTGAGGGAAGAGCCCATGGCTGGGGCTTGACTTGGGGAGGGATTGAGTTCCAAGGCAAAGACTGCTCCCATGCCAAACACAGTCCAGCTCAGCCCAGCCACAACACCTGAGGCCCTGGGACTGGGCAATCCACGAACCCATTCTCACACGAAAAAGACCTTGACCTTTGCCGGTACCAGAGAGCAGGGCTGCACAATGCCAGTAGCCCCAAATCATTTAGAAAACCCAGGTGCCAAGGTTCTCTGCACCAAACCATGCTGGTTCAAGAAGCTCCACAACTTCAAGACAATGTCTCTGTTCCCCCCCAAGACAAAAAAAAAAAAAATTAAAAAAAAAATGCAGAGGTCAAAGGACTCTTCCCTGCTCCGGGCTTTTTCATGTTTCCCATGGTTGGCATGGAAGCTCCATGGAAGGAGCTGCTCAGCAGCCTGTGCCCAGTGACCTCAGAACATCATGGGGATGGAGTTTAAAGAGGCCACTGAGACTGAATAAAACCATCTCATTGTTTCTCAATGAAAAGCCTACAAGGGCACGCATAAGCTCGTTCCTGGACACGCTCTGACATACTAAACATTAGAAGCCCCATCAGACTCAAGACCTTGAAAGGCCTTGTCAATGACCGTGTGGATGGGACAGACGACTGAGCCGATACACAAATCCAGGTACACCTGCACCATCTCCTTGAAGCATCACTTGAACCACTAACCTGACATCTCCAGATCCACTGTTGCTTTGTCATAAGCATCAGCATCTTTCACTATGCAGATGTACCGGCCATCATCTGAGGGTCTCAGCCTTGTGATTCGCAAGTCCAGGCTTCCAGCAGAGAGACCATCTCTGACCAACTCTGTCCTCCCGGCATATGCCCCCATCTGCTCCCCGTACAGGTCCTGTCCATTGCGGTAGTGGTGCACTGTCTCAGAGATATTGTCCCGGATCCACCTGACCTCCAAGCTGCGAGCATCCTGGCGAGGGGACAAGTAACAACGCAGCACAACATCCTGCCCCATGGTGGCGGTGAGAGGATAGTCTGGTCCCACCACTCTGAGCTGGGCTGGGCAATGGAGAAGGGCACAGAGAGGTGGTGAGATTTTGCCATTGTAAATTTAGGGGCAGTGAGTGACAAAGGGCGAGCTGTGTGTGAGTTGGTGCGTGCTGCGTCCCCTGTCTCCCATGAGAAACCACCGGGGAAAGAGGAGAGGGAGAGGGAGGACGTGCAGGAGAAGGAGGTGTGCTGGGAGTGGGAGCCCTCTCTGCAGCGTTCGGGCAGGCAATGAAGAGCCAGAAAGGGCAGCCAAGGCAGAACCCATATTGTGTGAAAGAACCAAAGGGAAAGTGAAACCCAACGGGGGCTGAGCTGTGGGCTCGGGTCCCCCATTTCCCACAGTCGCTCCCCTGTCCCACAGTAGCAAGTCAGCATGCACAGGGGGGAGAGCCCCCAGCAGCCCCGCAGGATCCTACCTGAGCCCAGCCGGAGGAGGAACAGAGTGACGAGGGAAGTCAGGAGGCCCCTGGCATGGCCGGTGAGGCTGGGGATGCCGCAGCCCCAGGGGAGCCCCATCTGTGCTGCACCGGGAGCAGTAGCTGGGGTCAGGACCTGAAGCAGAAGAGAGAGGGGACCGAGGGGCTTCAGGCACCACAGGCAGATGGGGAAGGAGTCCCCCTGGGCCCAGACACAAGGAGCCACAGCCAGCAGCGCCTTGGACAGGGCGCAGAGCCTGCGCTTTTATCACGGGCTGGGGGACACAGCAGGCAGCCCCCAGGGGTCCTTCTCCAAGGGAGTCCCACCAACAGAGAGGTCCCTCACCGAACCCAGCAGAGCTGCGGAAAGCCCAAGGCTACGCCCAACTTCCCTAACCTTTGCCCAGTTCCTGCCTGCAATAACCCTCTGGGAGCACCTTTGTCCCTGGGGCAATGGGAGCAAGTGTCCTGGGAGCTCTAGAGGCTTGGCACCACCATGCATCACAGCTGGGTGCCCTGCCCAATGCCTTCAGCAAGCACAAGGGGCTTGTCCCCAGCAGGAGCCTCTCCAGAACACCAGTTAATGCTAGTCTTTCTCTGATGCTTCGACTCCGCCACTCCTCAAATCACTCTGCTCCTGCTCCTTGTGGGGTCCCTCCCATGGGATGCCGTCCTTCCCAAAATGATCCTGCGTGGTCTTTACTCTGGCATCCCAGTTGTCTGCCCTTCTGTCGTGGTTTAACCCGGCTGGCAGCTAAACACCACGCAGCCGTTCGCTCACCCTCCCCCCTCCCTCTCTGGGACGGGGGAGAGAAATGGAAAGTGAAGCCCGTGAGTTGAGATAAAGACAGTTTAATAAGACAGGAAAATAATAATAACAAAATAATAATAAAATAATAACAATAATAATACAATGGTGATAATAGGAAAGTAATAATAGTATGTACAAACAAGTGATGCACAATGCAATTGCTCACCACTCGCTGACCGATGCCCAGCCTAACCCCGAGCAGTCCGGCCCCCTCCCCCCGGCTAGCCACCCCTATATATTGTTTAGCATGACGTCAGATGGTATGGAATACCCCTTTGGCTAGTTTGGGTCACCTGTCCTGGGTCTGTCCCCTCCCAGCTCTTACTGCACCCCCAGCCTGCCCATTGGCAGGACAGAGCAAAAGGCTGAGATGTCCTTGGCTTAGTATAAGCACTGCTCTGCAACAATTAAAGCATCGGGGTGTTATCAGCACTCTTCTCATCCTAAGCCAAAACACAGCATTCCACCAGCTACTAGGAAGAAAATTAATTCTGTGCTAACTGAAACCAGGACACCTTCCTGCCCGCCTTTTTACGTAGAGGGACAGAGAGTTCTTGCGCTCTAAGGAAAACATCCTTAGAGTCTCCAGCTCTCCTCAGCTCCTTTGTCCCATAGGATGGTATTCCAGGGGATCTCATCCTCTAGGTCTTTAAATAGCTTGGATTTGCTCTTTGGAAATTCAGGGTCCTGCCTTTGCCCTTTGCCAGGCCCACATTCCTGGAGATCACGAACTCAACCATGGCATGGTCACTGCAGCCCAGATTGCCTCCAGTCTTGCCCTCTTTAATGAGCTTGTCTGCATAGGTGAGCACCAGGTCAAGTAACGCTTCTCGTTGGGTTGGTTTCTCTAGTACTTTTACCAGGAAGTAATCCTCAACACGCTCTAGGAATCTCCTGGATTGCTTAAAGCCTACTGTGTAGTTTTCCCAGCAGACATCCGTGTGATTCAAGTCCCCCATCAGGATGAGAGCATGCGAGCACGATGCTTCTTGTAGTTGAAGCAAGAAGGCCTCATCCATAGGCTCCCCTTGATCAGGCAGCCTGTAGTAGACTCCGGAAGAACCGTATTTCTGTGATAGCAATCAGGTCATATTTGTCTAATTTCCCCATGGTTTCCAATTCCTCTTGCTTGTTTCCCATGCTGCGTACATTGGTGTAGAGGCATTTCAGGTGGGCTGTTGGTCGTATTGCATTTCTAGAACCCTTCCTGTTGTATTGGGACAGGTCACGAGAGTTTCCCTGCTGTTACTTAGAGTGATGGTGTTCTCAGCTATGCTTTCTTGCTCACCCTGCCTGCAAGCACTGCCATGCAAACTGCCATGCCATGCCCTGACTGACACGCCATGCTCCGTTCACTGCACTCCTGGACTCTCACTCTCCCTAGGGTTCTGCCTTTATATGACAGAAAGGGGGTTTCTGGATCCTCCCATGCCTCATCAGCTGGCCTCACAAGGGCTGCTGAGTCCTAGCAGCTCCCTTGGATTCCTCCAATAACCTCGATGAAGGAAAACCCCTGCATGCCTCGATCCCCCACTCTGCTGCAGGACGCATTGCCCCGGAGCCGATTGCCTCAGCTTCTTTTATAATGATTTAAAATATTCCCACACTTGGAATTTCCCTGTTCAGAAGTTGACTTATTTAATTACAAGGAGTATTGCTAATTCTTTTACATCGATAAAGTTTTTTTGACCTCAGTATCAGGGAAGCTCATGGAGCAGATCCTCTTGAGAGTCATCAATGCGGCACTTGAAGGGCAAGCAGGCGATCAGGCCCAGTCAGCATGGGTTTATGGAAGGCAGATCCTGCTTGACGAACCTGATCTCCTTCTATGACAAAGTGACGCGCTGGGTGGACGAGGGAAAGGCTGTGGATGTGGTCTACCTTGACTTCAGCAAGGCTTTTGACACCGTCTCCCACAGCATTCTCCTCAAGAAACTGGCTGCTCTTGGCTTGGACTGGCGCACACTTCGTTGGGTTAGAAACTGGCTGGATAGCCGGGCCCAAAGAGTCGTGGAAAATGGAGTCAAGTCCAGTTGGAGGCCGGTCACTAGTGGCGTCCCCCAGGGCTCGGTGCTGGGGCCGGTCCTCTTTAATATCTTCATCAATGATCTGGACGAGGGCATTGAGTGCACCCTCAGTAAGTTTGCAGGTGACACCAAGCTATGTGCATGTGTCGATCTGCTCGAGGGTAGGAAGGCTCTGCAGGAGGATCTGGATAGGCTGCACCGATGGGCTGAGGTCAACTGCATGAAGTTCAACAAGGCCAAGTGTCGGGTCCTGCACCTGGGGCGCAATAACTCCAAGCAGAGCTACAGGCTGGGAGAGGAATGGTTGGAGAGCTGTCAGGCAGAGAAGGACCTGGGAGTGATGGTGGACAGTCAGCTGAATATGAGCCAGCAGTGTGCTCAGGTGGCCAAGAAGGCCAACGGCATCCTGGCTTGTATCAGAAACAGTGTGACCAGCAGGGCTAGGGAGGTGATCGTCCCCCTGTACTCGGCTCTGGTGAGGCCGCACCTCGAGTACTGTGTTCAGTTTTGGGCCCCTCGCTACAAGAAGGACATCGAGGTGCTTGAGTGGGTCCAGAGAAGGGTGATGAAGCTGGTGAGGGGCCTGGAGAACAAGTCCTATGAGGAGCGGCTGAGGGAGCTGGGCTTGTTCAGCCTGGAGAAGAGGAGGCTCAGGGGCGACCTTATCGCTCTCTACAGATACCTTAAAGGAGGCTGTAGTGAGGTGGGGGTTGGTCTGTTCTCCCACATGCCTGGTGACAGGACGAGGGGGAATGGGCTGAAGTTGCGCCAGGGGAGTTTTAGGTTAGATGTTAGGAAGAACTTCTTTACTGAAAGGGTTGTTAGGCACTGGAACGGGCTGCCCAGGGAGGTGGTGGAGTCACCATCCCTGGAAGTCTTCAAAAGATGTTTAGATGTAGAGCTTAGGGATATGGTTTAGTGGGGACTGTTAGTGTTAGGTTAGATTTTGGACTCGATGATCTTGAGGTCTCTTCCAACCTAGAAATTCTGTGATTCTGCAATTCTGTGATTCTGTGAAATCCATGCTAAATATTTCACGCTTTCATGCACAAAGCCAAATTCATAAATAGAGTTGGAAATGGAAAACTGGAGCCCACAAATGGGGTTCACAAACATGAAGCATACAGGTGCCTGAAGTCTGACTGCCGCACGTCAGCTGCTTCAGGTCTCAGCATGCAGGGAGGAACCTGGGGCAGCCCCTGGCCCCAGTGGCCCTCATTTCTGCACTGCTCCTGCAGGATCAAGGAGAGGTTATCCAGGACTGACTGGAAATGGGCAGGAGCCCCCCAGGGCTGGGGACAGGGTCTAGACAATGTTGTCCATGAGAAACAGCTGGGCGTTCATCCCCAGCCAGAACCAGGGGCGGATGCTCTCGCCATTGAAGGAGGCTGCTGTGAAAGTGAAGATCTCGACGCCATTGTTAGCATTGATAAAAGACACCTGCTGCTGGGTGCAGTCCAGACAGACCCAGACCTTCGTGGGGACAGGGGACAGGCGCAAGCGGGTGCGAGGCAATGTGAGAGACATGAGGTGCCCCTCACAGTATTGCACAGCCCAGATCCCTTCTTCAGGGCTCATTGTGATCTCCCCTTTCCTCTTCAGAGATGCTCTGGCCACCCCCACAGCCCACGAACAATACCTTCCCCTCTTCTCCCCCCTCACCACCCTCCAGCAGTGCCTCCCCTCTCTGAACTCCTCACGGCCCAGCACGCAGCACCAAATGTCAAATCTCTCCTCAGTGGAGGGAAACCTCTGCCATCTGGCTGCACGTACAGACTGGGCGATGAGACGCTGGAGAGCAGCCTAGAAGAGAGGGATCTGGGGGTCGTGGTAGACAGCAAGTTCAATATGAGCCAGCAGTGTGCCCTGGCAGCCAGGAGGGCCAACCGTATCCTGGAGTGCATCAAGCACGGCATCGCTAGTAGGTCGAGGGAGGTGATTGTCCCGCTCTACTCTGCACTGGTGCAGCCTCACCTTGAGTACTGTGTGCAGTTCTGGGCACCACAGTATAAAAAGGACATGAAACTGTTGGAGAGTGTCCAGAGGAGGGCTACGAAGATGGTGAAAGGCCTGGAGGGGAAGACGTACGAGGAACGGCTGAGGGCACTGGGCCTGTTCAGCCTGGACAAGAGGAGGCTGAGGGGAGACCTCATCGCAGTCTACAACTTCCTCGCAAGGGGGTGTCGAGAGGCAGGAGATCTTTTCTCCATTAACACTAGCGACAGGACCCGCGGGAACGGGGTTAAGCTGAGGCAGGGGAAGTTTAGGCTTGACATCAGGAGGAAGTTCTTCACAGTGAGAGTGGTTGCACACTGGAACAGGCTCCCCAGGGAAGTGGTCACTGCACCGAGCCTGACTGAATTTAAGAAGAGATTGGACTGTGCGCTTAGTCACATGGTCTGAACTTTTGGGTAGACCTGTGCGGTGTCAAGAGTTGGACTTGATGATCCTTAAGGGTCCCTTCCAACTCAGGATATTCTATGATTCTATGATTCTATGATTTACTTTCCCAACTCACATTCCTCTGGTCCTCTGCCAGGAAAAGCAGGGGATGAGCCATGTGTGGATCCAGGGTCACTTTCACTGCAGGGACAGAAGGAGCCAGGCCATCAGGGGCAGAGCTCAGCCCTGGGCAGGCTTTCCCCAGCTCGGGGCCAGGAGCTGCCCCACGGGGCAGGAGATGGGGCACCTCTTGGCTCCTGAACATGCCCCACAAAGGGCAGGAGAACAGCGCAGGGGGCAACTTATAAGATACACCTACCTCTATTATGAGACATCAGAAAACTTCTCCATGCTGGAAGGAGAGGGGAGAGTTGGTCACAGCCCATGGGTGTTGCGCAGTGGGTGTGGGCAGGGTGAGGGGCCAGCCCTGGGCTGCTCTGTCCCAGCTGCCCACCCTCCCCTGCACATCACCTTGGCATTGCCCTAGAGCCCAATCTCAGGGACACTCACCCAGCACTGCAGCTTGCTCAGCTGGAAAAAATACATCAATGAATCCAAATAAAAAAGCAAGACTTGGTGAGGGGGGAGAGCTTCTCAGCCCATGGCCAGACCCCAAAGTGCTTTGCTGTGCTGCAAGATACTCACCAGGCTTTGCATCTTTTTTCACTGCAAAACAAGAGCAAAAACAATGCATGATGGGAAGGGACAACTTCCCATCTCACAGATCCCATGGGTATATCCCTGAATTCCTTCATTTTGGGAAGGGTCGCTCACCCTGCTTTGGAGCTGATTCCTCTGCAAATAAAAAGCAAAAGCACTTGTTGAGAGAGTACGGATTCTCATTACATGACAAGAACCCATTTTCTTTGGGTTTGGGGTAGAGACTCACCTTGTCTTCCAGATTGCTGCCCTGGAAATGAGAGGGAAAAAAAAGGCCAAATGAGAAGGAACAGCTTCTCATCCCATTGCGATACCCCATATCCCATCTCATGCAGATTGACGCTCACCGTTATTTTCATCTACTGTAACCTGGAAAAGAAAGGGAAAAGTCCTGATGTGCATTTTGTACACTGCCCACCCTCCCCTACACATCGCCTTAGCACTGCCCTGGGTTTCATGCTAAGGGACACTCACCCAGCTCTTCAGCCAATTCCACTGTAAAAGGAAATCAAAAGCGATGCATGGTGAGAAGGGAAAACTTCTCATCCCATTACTGCTCCCATGGGAAGACCCCAGATATTTTGGTTTAGGTACGGAGACTTACCAGGGCTTCCATAATTTTTCACTGGGAAAAGAAATTAATACCAATGCATGATCAGATGGCAGTGCTTTACATTCCATGGCTACTCCTATAGCTAGACCCTTAATTATTTTTCTCTGGGGAGCAGGCACAGATCATCTTGCTCCCAGATTCAGAGGGACCAGAGTAAGCAAGAGGGAGCAAGACACAGCTTTGAAAGCTGAAGCAGAAGAAGCTGGAGCAGAAGCTGGAGCAGAAGAGAGAGGTTGGAGCAGAAGAAAGAGGCAAAAAAGGGTCTGCAGGCACTGCAGGCAGATGAGGAAGGAGTCCCCTTGGGCCCGGGCACAAGGAGCCACAGCCAGCAGCACCTTGGGCAGGGCGCAGAGCCTGCGCTTATCATGGGCTGGGGGACACAGCAGGCAGCCCCCAGGGGTTCTTCTCCAAGGGAGCCTCACCAAGAGAGAGGTCCTTCACTGCATCCAGCAGAGCTGCAGGAATCACAAGACTGTGCCCAAGTTTCCCAACCTTTGCTCAGTTCCTGGCTTCAATAACCCTCTGGAAGAAACTTTACCCCTTGGGGGATAGAACTAAATAGCTCCAGAGCTGAGCAAGATCAGAGGTTGCAGGGAGTGTTGCGCACATGGGTGCTGAGCCTGGTGCTGCCACCCTTTGCCCAGGGTGGTGCGGGCAAAGAATAAGCTGCACTCCTGACTGTAGTCAAGTAGCTATTTCAAAAGATTAGCTCAGATTGGCAGAGATCTTCTTCCAGTGCTAAGGTGGATAAGGAAAGTTTATGTGTGCTGGAAGTGAGGCCAGGCAGTATGGGAAGATTATAGAGATACTGTTTGCCTTTGTACGCAGAAAATTCTTATGGATTCATGTTGGATCTGTGAGGGACAGTAAACATGATTTTTATTAAAATGTCTTAAGAGCAAAAGTAGGACCAGAGAAAACATTGGTCTGTTATTTGATGGGGATGGTCTCCTCACAAACAGGGAGATCAACAACACGGAGATGTTTAATATTGTCTTTGCCTTTGTCTTCAACACTGACAATGGGCTCTAGGTCCCCAGGTACCCTGTCTTGGAGAGTCGTGACTGCGGGAATGTTAAGCTCCCAGCCAACTCTGAATTTTGTTGTGATTTGCTCCTAGACGTGGATGCATACAAGACTGTAGGACCTGATGGGATTCAGAGTACTCAGAGAACTGCCTGATGTCATCAGGAAAGCTCTATAAATTATTTTTGAAATATCCTTGGGAATCTGGAGAGGTCCCAGTGACTGGAAGCTGCCAAACGTCGCCCCAGTTTCCAAGAAGAGCAGCAAAGAAGGCCCTGGGAATTACAGGCCTGTCAGTCTCATGGCAGTGCCTGGTAAAGTTAGGGAGATTGCTCTGGGAGTGTGTGAAAAACACCTGAGGGACAAACTTAATTTCCTTTTTATGCCAAGGTCAGCCTTCTGGTTGACCAAGGGGTTCCTGTCAATGTGATCTTTTCAGAATTCCGTAGAGATTCAAGCATGGTTTCTGAACATATACATCCAGCAGCGGGCCTTGGTAGCTCAAAGGGCCAAGAGTATGTAGTGGGTTTATGTGGCTTAGGGGTGGCTTCCGTGAAAAGAATCCAGAAGTTGCCCCGTGTTAGATAAGGAGTTCGCCTCTGACCAGAACCGAGCCGATATGTGATGTAGATTGCGCCTCTGTGAGAGCACAGTTAAGAAAAAGGGAAAAAAAAAGACTGCTGCTGAACAGCAGCTGAGAGGGAAAGGAGTGAGAAACAACTCTCCAAGGTCTGTGCAGAAGGAGGGGTAGGAGGTGACCATCCTAATCAAGACCAATACTTTCTCTGATACTCATTTTGCTCTTAACATATTTTAATAGACCGTTTTAATGCCCCTCACAGTACTGTCCTGGTTCAACGCAAATTGAGCTTTGAATTTTCTGCCTCCAAAGGCAAACAGCATCTCTGTAGTCCTCCCATGTTGCTCAACCTCCAGTGCACATAAACGTCCCTTAGCCACCTAAGCTTTAGAAGAAGATCCTGCCCCTCTGGAGCAACTCTTTGCTGTGCCTGCTTGGCTTGAGCAGGGAGCGGGGCTGGCTCTTTGCCTTCAGCACCCTGGGCGAAGGGTGGCAGCTCCAGGATCAGCACCCAACTGCACCCCATTACTTCAGCCTCCAATCCCACTCAGCTCTGCTCTGCCATCTCTCCACATTGTTCCATTGCTCACAGTTTCATTCCTCTCTAGACAGGTGGAGATGAACGAGCTCAGACACTGGCTTTCCCTGGAGGTCTGGAGAGGTGTCCTGGTTTCAGTTAGCACAGAATTAATTTTCTTCCTAGTAGCTGGTGGAATGCTGTGTTTTGGCTTAGGATGAGAAGAGTGCTGATAACACCCCGATGCTTTAATTGTTGCAGAGCAGTGCTTATACTAAGCCAAGGACATCTCAGCCTTTTGCTCTGTCCTGCCAACGGGCAGGCTGGGGGTGCAGTAAGAGCTGGGAGGGGACAGACCCAGGACAGGTGACCCAAACTAGCCAAAGGGGTATTCCATACCATCTGACGTCATGCTAAACAATATATAGGGGTGGCTAGCTGGGGGGGAAGGGGCCGGACTGCTCGGGGTTAGGCTGGGCATCGGTCAGCGAGTGGTGAGCAATTGCATTGTGCATCACTTGTTTGTACATACTATTATTACTTTCCTATTATCATCATTGTATTATTATTGTTATTATTTTTATTATTATTTTGTTATTATTATTTTCCTGTCTTATTAAACTGTCTTTATCTCAACTCACGGGCTTCACTTTCCATTTCTCTCCCCCGTCCCGGAGAGGGAGGGGGGAGGGTGAGCGAACGGCTGCGTGGTGTTTAGCTGCCGGCCGGGTTAAACCACAACAGCCTTTTTTGGCGCCCAACGTGGGGCCCGAAAGGTTGAGATAACGGCAGATCTGACCAGAGTGTGTTAAACTAAAATTGGTGTAAGGATTAGACCTGCTTAATAGTCACTTGTCATAATGCTGATTGCTTTAATCTCAACTTTGCTGCGCCTGTTTTCCAAATTGAGTATTATAGTACATTATTTTCCGTATTTACTCTCTGTCGTGTTGTTTATCCTCTCCGGGCCCTGGTTTCAGATCATTATGGTGCTGTGTGTTGTAGCAATGGCTTATGAGACGATGAAATATGTGGTCATGACTCTAACTTGTTATTTGTATTCAGTAACATCGTCGACTCTGTACTTTGGAAACTGTATCTTGGAAACTATTAGCAATTATACCTATTGTTTTTTTCCATTAAGGAGTCAATCTGTGGAGGGGAAAGGGGAGGATATTTTTCCTTACTTGCTTACTCTCCCTTTCTCCTTCACCACCCCTGTATCCTCCTGGGTCACTCTGCCTTCCTCCTTCACCACCCTCTTATCCCCTGAGCTTGTCACAATAGCTCTCCAAGATATTGAATATTTCTGGAATACTCAGAGTACCATAGTCTTGTTGTTCTGCCTCATGAATGCACTTCAGGTTCTGCTTAAAGTTAAACAACTACTTGGGAAGCTCTTCTGGAGATCTGCCCGGGGGCAGGATAGTTGTGGGTGGCAGGGAGTATGGGCGGATATGGGCAGGCATCTAGAGCAGTTGGCACCCCCAGTGTGTTGGAAATTCACCCCTGAACAATGGCAAAATCCTCAAAAACTGGCAGAATGCTTGAAAAAAAGGTGTCATGATTCTGGCAGTTCCAAAGTAACACAAATCATTATAACGTGCTGGGGCCTGGCTCATGCCTATCGAGCTGCCATTGATACTGCTATCAACTTAGTGACAGACCCTGCGGCCACTCCAAGCCCTGTGACAGATCCAACGGCCACTGTGACCCCTACGGTGGACTCGGCAGCCGCTCCAGATCCGGTTCCTGCAGCCGCTCCAGATCCGGTTCCTGCAGCCGCTCCAGATCCGGTTCCTGCAGCCGCCCCAGTCCCAGCTCCTGCAGCCGCTCCAGTCCCAGCTCCTGCAGCCGCTCCAGATCCGGTTCCTGCAGCCGCCCCAGCTCCAGCTCCTGCAGCCGCTCCAGTCCCAGCTCCTGCAGCCGCTCCAGTCCCAGCTCCTGCAGCCGCTCCAGTCCCAGCTCCTGCAGCCGCTCCAGCTCCAGCTCCTGCAGCCGCTCCAGTTCCAGCTCCTGCAGCCGCTCCAGTCCCAGCTCCTGCAGCCGCTCCAGTCCCAGCTCCTGCAGCCGCTCCAGTTCCAGCTCCTGCAGCCGCTCCAGCTCCAGCTCCTGCAGCCGCTCCAGCTCCAGCTCCTGCAGCCGCTCCAGCTCCAGCTCCTGCAGTCGCTCCAGTTTCAGCTCCGGCCGCTACTCCAGTCCCAGTTCCTGCAACTGCTCCAGCTCCAGCTCCAGCTCCTGTAGCCGCTCCAGCTCCAGCTCCTACTGCTGCTCCAGTCCCAGCTCCTGCAACTGCTCCAGCTCCAGCTCCAGCTCCTGCAGCCGCTCCAGCTCCAGCTCCTACTGCTGCTCCAGTCCCAGCTCCTGCAACTGCTCCAGCTCCAGCTCCAGCTCCTGTGGCCGCTACAGCTCCGGTTCCTGCAACTGCTCCAGCTCCTGCAGCCGCTCCAGCTCCTGTGGCTGTGTCAGAGAAACGAGCTGTAGCAGTGCAAGTTGACCCTGCAGAGGGTATTCCAACCCCTGTGGCAGACCCTGTAACAAAGTCAGAGAAACGAGCAGTAGCAGTGCAAGCTGCCCCTGTAGAGAAGGTGAAAATATGGTACAGAAATTCAAGTCGTTTAGAACGCAGAGAGTCTTCTGCCAATCCAGGTAAGGCTTCTGCCAAAACTAAGTATAGAGATGACGAAGATGATGACGACGCTGGGCCATCAAGGATTCAGGAGGAGGAAGATGAGGATGCCGAAAGAGCAACAGTAACTACGCGAAGCCTAAACGAGCGCGAGCTACGAGATGTGCGAAAAGATTTTGGTCGCTGTATAGGTGAGCAGCTTGTCACCTGGCTGCTCCGGTGCTGGGACTCTGGAGCCAATTGTGTGGAATTAGACGGCAGGGAAGCCAGACGGTTGGGATCCCTTGCTCGAGACGCCGGCATTGACAAAGCAATTGCAGATGGAGCACGACCCACCAGCCTCTGGAGGCGTCTCCTCTCAGCTGTGAGGGAAAGGTATCCCTTCAAGGAAGATATTTTATGTGTACCAGGCAAGTGGACCACTATGGAGAAGGGAATCCAGTACCTGAGGGAATTAGCCGTACGGGAAGTGATTTATGAGGATCCAGACCAGACACAAACATCCAAAGATCCAGATGGAGTCAAGTGTACACGACCCATGTGGTGGAAGTTTGTACGGAGTGCACCATCATCATATGCCAGCTCATTGGCAGTAATGGCCTGGAAAGAGGATGAGGAACCCACAGTGGATGAAGCGGCTAAACAACTCCGGCAGTACGAAGAAAGTCTCTCCTCTTCCTTACAGGCCTGCGTCTCAGCTGTGGAGAAACTGTCTGAAGAGGTCCACCAACTTAAAGAGAATCTATCTTCCCCCCAACCTGAACCAACCAGTGTCCAACGACCGAAAGAGAACACCTGGGAGAAACTTTCTGAAAAGTTTCACCAACTTGAAGAGAGATTATTCTCCTCCGCACCTGTACAAAGCAGTGTCTCAGCTATCAGGGGTAGGCGTTCATCCACACAAGGAAGACGATATAGTGGGTACTCACCCCGTGCCACCCTGTGGTTTTACTTACGAGACCATGGAGAGGACATGAGAAAATGGGATGGAAAATCTACCGCGACCCTAGAGGCACGGGTACGTGAGTTGCAAAAGAAAACAATCAGGAAAAAAGGATTCTCCGAAAAGTTTGCTGCTCCAACTTCCAGCAGACAATCCTTCAAACACAGAAACGAAGAAGATTCTGACCAGGATTAGGGGGGCCCTGCCTCCAGCCAGGGGGAGGAAAGGGACAATCGAGTTTATTGGACTGTGTGGATTCGATGGCCTGGCACATCACGCGCACAGAAGTATAAGGCTTTAGTAGACACCGGTGCACAATGTACTATAATGCCATCGAGCTATAAAGGACCAGAGCCCATCTATATTTGTGGAGTGACAGGAGGATCTCAGCAGTTGACTGTATTGGAGGCTGAAGTAAGTCTGACTGGGAATGAGTGGGAAAAGCACCGCATTGTGACTGGCCCGGATGCTCCATGTATCCTTGGCATAGACTATCTTAGAAGAGGATATTGCAAGGACCCAAAAGGGTTCCGGTGGGCTTTTGGTATAGCTGCCTTAGAGACAGAGGGCATTAAACAATTATCTACCTTGCCTGGTCTCTCAGAGGACCCCTCTGTTGTGGGGTTGCTGAGGGTCGAAGAACAGCAAGTGCCAATCGCTACCACAACTGTGCACCGGCGGCAATATCGCACTAACCGAGACTCCCTGATTCCCATCCATAAGCTAATTCGTCAATTGGAGAGCCAAGGAGTGATCAGCAAGACCCATTCACCTTTCAATAGCCCCATATGGCCAGTGCGAAAGTCTAATGGCGAGTGGAGACTAACAGTGGACTATCGTGGCCTGAACGAAGTCACGCCACCACTGAGTGCTGCAGTGCCGGACATGCTGGAACTTCAGTATGAACTTGAATCGAGGACAGCCAAGTGGTACGCCACAATTGATATCGCTAATGCATTTTTCTCCATCCCTCTAGCAGCAGAGTGCAGGCCACAATTTGCCTTCACTTGGAGGGGAGTTCAATATACTTGGAATAGGCTGCCCCAGGGGTGGAAACACAGCCCTACCATTTGCCATGGGCTGATCCAGTCTGCGCTAGAGCAGGGGGAAGCTCCTGAACACCTGCAGTACATCGATGACATTATTGTGTGGGGTGACACAGCAGAGGAAGTTTTCGAGAAAGGGAAGAAAATAGTCCAAATCCTTCTGAAAGCCGGTTTTGCCATAAAACAGAATAAAGTCAAAGGACCTGCACGAGAGATCCAGTTTTTAGGAATAAAATGGCAAGATGGACGTCGTCAAATCCCAATGGATGTGATCAACAAAATAACAGCTATGTCTCCACCAACTAACAAAAAAGAAACACAGACTTTCCTAGGTGTTGTGGGGTTTTGGAGAATGCACATCCCAAATTACAGTCTGATTGTAAACCCGCTCTACCAAGTAACCCGTAAGAAGAATGAGTTTGAATGGGGCCCTGAACAACGACAAGCCTTTGAACAAATCAAGCAGGAAATAGTCCATGCAGTAGCCCTTGGGCCAGTTCGAACAGGACCAGATGTAAAGAATGTGCTCTACACTGCAGCCGGGGAGAACGGCCCCACCTGGAGCCTCTGGCAGAAAGAACCTGGGGAAACTCGAGGTCGGCCTCTGGGGTTTTGGAGTCGGGGATACAGAGGATCTGAGGCCCACTATACTCCAACTGAAAAGGAGATATTGGCAGCATATGAAGGAGTTCGATCTGCTTCGGAGGTGGTCGGTACTGAAGCGCAACTCCTCCTAGCACCCCGATTGCCAGTACTAGGCTGGATGTTCAAGGGAAGGGTCCCCTCTACGCATCATGCAACTGATGCTACATGGAGCAAGTGGGTTGCATTGATTACTCAGCGGGCTCGAATAGGAAACCCCAGTCGCCCAGGAATATTGGAAGTGATCATGGACTGGCCAGAAGGCAAATACTTTGGGATATCATCAGAGGAGGAGGTGGGTCGTGCTGAAGAAGCCCCACTGTACAACCAGTTGCCAGAGAATGAAAAGAAATATGCCCTGTTCACTGATGGGTCCTGTCGTATTGTGGGGAAGCATCGGAGATGGAAGGCTGCTGTATGGAGTCCTACGCGACGAGTTGCAGAAGCTGCTGAGGGAGAAGGTGAATCGAGTCAGTTTGCAGAAGTGAAAGCCATTCAGCTGGCTTTAGACATTGCTGAACGAGAAAAATGGCCAGTTCTCTATCTCTACACCGATTCATGGATGGTAGCAAATGCCCTGTGGGGATGGTTACAGCAATGGAAGCAAAACAACTGGCAGCGTAGGGGCAAACCCATCTGGGCTGCTGCATTGTGGCAAGATATTGCTGCTCGGGTAGAGAACCTGGCTGTGAAAGTACGCCACGTAGATGCTCATGTGCCCAAAAATCGGGCTACTGAAGAACATCAAAACAACCAGCAGGTGGATCAGGCTGCTAAGATTGAAGTAGCTCAGGTGGACTTGGATTGGCAGCATAAAGGTGAATTATTTATAGCCCGATGGGCCCATGACACCTCAGGCCATCAAGGTAGAGATGCAACATACAGATGGGCTCGTGATCGAGGGGTGGACTTGACCATGGATGCTATAGCACAGGTTATTCATGACTGTGAAACATGTGCTGCAATCAAGCAAGCCAAACGGTCAAAGCCTCTTTGGTATGGAGGACGATGGCTGAAATATAAATATGGAGAGGCCTGGCAGATTGATTACATCACACTCCCTCAAACTCGCAATGGCAAGCGCCACGTACTTACAATGGTGGAAGCAACCACCGGATGGCTGGAAACATATCCTGTGCCTCATGCCACCGCCCGGAACACCATCCTGGGCCTTGAAAAGCAAGTCCTATGGCGACATGGCACCCCAGAAAGAATAGAATCAGACAATGGGACTCACTTCCGAAACAACCTTATAGACACTTGGGCCAAAGAACATGGTATTGAATGGGTGTATCACATCCCCTATCATGCACCAGCCTCCGGGAAAGTTGAACGATACAATGGCCTGTTAAAGACTACCTTGAAAGCAATGGGCGCTGGGACGTTCAAAAACTGGGATATGCATTTAGCAAAGGCCACTTGGTTAGTCAATACTAGGGGATCTACCAACCGAGCTGGACCTGCCCAATCAAACCTGTTACGTACTGTAGATGGGGATAAAGTTCCTGTAGTGCATGTAAAAAATATGCTGGGTAAAACAGTCTGGGCTACTCCTGCCTCAGGAAAAGGCAAACCTATTCGTGGAATTGTTTTCGCTCAGGGACCTGGATACACTTGGTGGGTGATGCAAAAGAACGGAGAGGTCCGGTGTGTACCTCAAGGAGATTTAATACTGGGTGAGAATAGCCCATGAACTGAATTGTACCATGTTAAATAGTATATTATACTGTATGTTATCACTACCATGATTACTATAGGTGACTAATTAGAATGTATGGAAAAGAGTGTAACCTGAGCATGACATAAATGGTATGGAATAAGGGGTGGATAGATGTCCTGGTTTCAGTTAGCACAGAATTAATTTTCTTCCTAGTAGCTGGTGGAATGCTGTGTTTTGGCTTAGGATGAGAAGAGTGCTGATAACACCCCGATGCTTTAATTGTTGCAGAGCAGTGCTTATACTAAGCCAAGGACATCTCAGCCTTTTGCTCTGTCCTGCCAACGGGCAGGCTGGGGGTGCAGTAAGAGCTGGGAGGGGACAGACCCAGGACAGGTGACCCAAACTAGCCAAAGGGGTATTCCATACCATCTGACGTCATGCTAAACAATATATAGGGGTGGCTAGCTGGGGGGGAAGGGGCCGGACTGCTCGGGGTTAGGCTGGGCATCGGTCAGCGAGTGGTGAGCAATTGCATTGTGCATCACTTGTTTGTACATACTATTATTACTTTCCTATTATCATCATTGTATTATTATTGTTATTATTTTTATTATTATTTTGTTATTATTATTTTCCTGTCTTATTAAACTGTCTTTATCTCAACTCACGGGCTTCACTTTCCATTTCTCTCCCCCGTCCCGGAGAGGGAGGGGGGAGGGTGAGCGAACGGCTGCGTGGTGTTTAGCTGCCGGCCGGGTTAAACCACAACAAGAGGTTCCTGCTGGGGACAAGCCCCTCATCCTGCCTGAAGGTGGTGGACTGGGCACCCAACTACGATGGGATGGTGGTGCCAGCCCTGCAGAGCTCCTCAGACACTTGTCCCCATTGCCCCAGGGGCAGAGCTGCTCCCTGAGGGTTATTGCAGTCAGGAACTGGGCAAAGGTTGGGAGTGTTGGGTGCTTCCTTCAGTGTTCCAGAGTGTTGGCTGCTGTGAGGGACGTCTATCTTGGTGGGTCTCTCTTGCAAAAGAACCCCTGGGGGGCCGCCTGCCCCCTGGGGGACCTCTCTCTCAGATGGGGCTCCCCTGGGGCTGTGGCTGTCCCAGCCTCACCGGCCATGCCAGGGGCCTCCTGACTTCCCTCGTCACTCTGCTCCTCCTCCAGCTGGGCTCAGGTAGGATCCTGCAGGGCTGCTGGGGGCTCTCCCCCCTGGGCCTGGCAGACGTGTTGCTATGGGGCAAGGGTGTGGCCGTGGGGCAGTGGGGACCCGAGACCACAGCTCGGCCCCTGCTGGGTTTCACTTTCTCTTTGGTTCTTTCACACAATATGGCTGCTGCCTTGCCTGCTCTTTCTCTGTCTCCTTCACTCGCCCGAATGCTGCAGAGAGGGCTCCCACTCCCAGCACACCTCCTTCTCCTGCACATCCTCCCTCTCCCTCTCCTGTTTCCCCAGTGGTTTCCCATGGGATACGGGGGACGCAGCATGCACCAACTCACGCACAGCTCGCCCTTTGTCACTCACTGACCCTAAATTTAAGATGGCAACATCTCACCGCCTTTCTGTGCCCTTCTCCATTGCTCAGCCCAGCTCAGAGTGGAGGGACCAGGCCAGCCTGTCACTGCCACCGTGGGGCAGGATGTCGTGCTGCCCTGCCACTTGTCCCCTCAACATGATGCTCACAGCTTGGAGGTCAGGTGGATTCGACGCACGATATCTGAGACAGTGCACCACTACCGCAATGGAGAGGACCTGTATGGGGAGCAGATGTGGGCATATTCTGGGAGGACAGAGCTGGCCAGAGACGGTCTCTCTGATGGAAGGTTGGACTTGCGTATCTTTGGGTTGAGACCCTCTGATGATGGCCAGTATGTCTGCACTGTGAAAGATGCTGATGATTATGGAGAAACTATTGTGGATCTGGATGTGACAGGTTAGTGGCTGAGTTGATGCATATACTTGTCCCTGGGATTTTGTGCCCTACCTAGGCCTCTGTCCCATCCTCATAGTAATCAATGAAACCTGTCAGAGAGTTTAGCATGATGGTGCTTCACCTCCTCAGTATGTGACCACTTGACCAGCAAGGTATACACCCATTCTGTGGCAGGTTGGTTTTGGGACAGATTTGCAAGGCTGAGTTGTTTTTGATCATTTTCTGTGCTCCAATGAACTGTGTCCAATAATGTTCTGAGGGCACTTGGCGTGGGCTGCTGAGCACCTCCTTAGGCTGTGCCAGTATTGGGACCACAGACAACATCTGAAGCCGGGAAAAGACCTCTTAGCAGCTGGACCTCTCTTTGCTTTTGCTTTTTCTCCTGGCGGAGAACTGAGACATTGTCTGGAAGTCTCGGGGCCTCTTTGAAAAGCACGGCTTGATGCAGAGATGCTGCCTGGAGGTGCTGAAGCCATGCACCTGAGTTTTCTGGGTGATTTGGGTCCAATGGCATTGCACAGCCCTGCTCGCTGGTTCTAGCACCAGCCACGGTGCTTTGCAGGTGAAGGTTGGTTTGTGAAGCGCCTGGTCCCAGAGCCCCTGTGACAATGGCTGGGTAGGGCTGTCTGGCATGGGAGCAGATGGGGTCATTGCGTTCAAATGAATCTCTCCCCAAGTCAAGCCCCAGTCACGCGCTCTTCCCCCAGCCACAGGCGATGACCCCCACCTCTCCCTGGGGGGCTATGAGGCCGGAGGTGTCCGGGTGCTGTGTCGATCGGCCGGCTGGTACCCGCTGCCGCAGCTGCTGTGGAGGGGTGCTCACGGGCAGCACCTGCCCTTGGTCTCCCAGACACATTCCCAGGACCAGGAGGGGCTCTTTGAAATCGAAGGCACCGTCATCGTGACCGGGAACGCGGAGGGGCCCTTGTCCTGCGTGGTCAGGAACAGCCGCATCCAGCAGGAGTGGAAATTTTCCCTGCACATTGCAGGTACAAATGGCACAGCCAGGATGAGGTGTTCCTGGCCCCAGCACTTGTCCTGAGCTGCGAGAAGTCTGGGTGTTGTGTTTCTAATCCCAGCCATGTAAATACAGCCCCTTTCCTGGTGCCTTTTCTCAGCTCCCTTCTTCCACAACGCCCAGCCCTGGATGGTGGCTCTGGCTCTCGTCCTCGTGCTTTTGGCTGTGTCCATTGGCCTGGGTGTTTATCTCTATCGAAAGCAAGGTAAGCTGGCAGCGCAGGGATGGAGCGCAGGGAGGTGTTCTGCAGGGACCTGCATGGGTGTGGAGCGGGGCTGAGCCCTGGCCCAGGGAGGTGCGTAGGAGGAGGAAGGGAATGTTCTCCTGGGGATGCCAAAGGCCTTAGCATCGTCTTGGGCCTCTGCCTTGGGCAAGGAAGGCAGGGGAGAAGGCAAGGGGCCTTGGGTGGGAGGCCAGGGAGCATGGCTGCAGCGTGGGGCTGGTGGCAAGGCGCAGCCCCCCTCCACATGTTCCCACCCAGCAACCAAGCTGCTCTGCTCACCACCTCTTCCTCCGCCTTTGCTTTTCAGCGGCACAGAGGCGAGAGCTGGGAGAGTCCTTGCAGTCCCTGCCCCCAGCCCCTGGGGAAGTGGTGTCCGTGTGGGAGGGAGTTGGCCTGGTCTGGGTGGACTCTGGGGGCTTGTGTGCTGGTGGCTCAGGGGTGCTGGAGGAGCAGCTGGAGCCTGGGGTGGGAGTGGGGAGTGCTGGGGCTGGGGCTGCCCTGGGCACGGGACACGGCCGGGATGGCTGAAAGGAATGGGGAACAAGGTGGGGACGGGGAGCGAGCTGTGGGGCTGCCCCACTCTGCACTGATGCTTCTTGGACAGGGACGTCCTCCACCCATCCCCATTCACTTCCCCTTGTGTTTTGGTGGCACCGTGCAGAGAGCTGCACAAGTGTCTGTCCTTACTGCTCCACATGCATGAGCCTTGCTCAAAGCTTGGTCTTGCCGACTGTTAGGCAGCACCACCCTTCCTCCCCCACCCTCCCCGCAGTTTGGGAACAAAGAGGTCTGTGTCCACTCAACAAAACAAAGAAATCTGGTGTCTTCTCATGGAATAACCTATAGGATGAGAAGGTGTCCTCTCTGATCATGCATTATTTTGTTTTCCATTTCCAGTGAAAAAAGATGCAAAGCTGGGTGAGTGTCTCTTTCTTAAGCCCAATGATCTTGTGTCTTCCCATGGGTGTAGCAAAGGCATAAGACGTTCTCCTATCTAATATTGCTTTACTCTTCTCTTCCTTTTCCAGCGGAACAGGCTAGGCAGCTTGGTGAGTCTCCATCTCTTATCCAAATCTATTCAGGTGCTAAACATGAAATGAGCTTGACCCTCTGATCATGCTTTTCTTTTTTTGCTTTTCCAGAGGAAAAATGTGAAAGGCTGGGTAAGTCTCCCTCCACAACCTGGAGAAAATTGGTTTTGCACTTCTTAGCAACCCTGGAATGAGAAACTGTCCCCTCTCATAATGCGTTGCTTTTCTCTTTCTCTTCCAGATCAACAAGCTACAGAGCTGGGTGAGTGTCCCTGTGCTTGGGCCGTAAGGCCACAAAAGGGCAACATGTACTGAAGGGTGGGCAGCTGGGAAAGAGCAGACCGGGGCCGGCCCCTCACCCTACCCACACCCACTGGACACTGGCCATGGGCAGTGACCAGCTCTTCCCTCTCCTTCCAGCATGGAGAAGGTTTCTGCTGCCTCAAAATAGAGGTAGGTGTGCACTGAGTTGTCCACTGAGGTGCTTCCCCTGCCCTTGCTGGGGCATGTTCAGGAGCCAAGAGGTGCCCCATCTCCTGCCCCGTGGGGCAGCTCCTGGTCCTGAGCTGGGGAAAGCCTTCCCAGAGCTGAGCTCTGCCCCTGATGGCCTGGCTCCTTCTGTCCCTGCAGTGAAGGTGACCCTGGACCCACACACGGCTCATCCTGAGCTCATCCTGTCAGAGGACCACAGGAGTGTGAGATGGCAAATGATACGGCAGCAGGTGCCTGACACACCGGAGAGATTTGACTTTTGGTGCTGCGTGCTGGGCCATGAGGAGTTCAGAGAGGGGAGGCACTGGTGGGAAGTGAAGGTGGAGGGGGAGCTGGAAATGTATTCTTGCTGGGCTGTTGGGGTGGCCAAGGAATCTGTGGAGAGGAAGGGGAAGATTAACATGGACCCAGAAGAAGGGATCTGGGCATTGCTTTACCAGCAAGGTCATCTCACGCCTCTCAGATCTACTCGCACCCCCTTACCCCTATCCCCTGTCCCCACGAGGATCTGGGTCTGTCTGGACTGTACCCAGCATCAAGTGTCTTTTATCAATGCTGACAATGGGTTCGAGATCTTCACTTTCACAGCAGCCTCCTTCAATGGGGAGAGTATCCGCCCCTGGTTCTGGCTAGAGACACTGGGAATTCAGCTGTGTCTGAGGGACAGCACCCACGAGAACCCGTCCCCAGCCCTGGGGGGCTCCTGCCCTTCTCCAACCACTCCTGCATCACCTCTCCTTGATCCTGCAGGAACAACACAGGAATGAGGGTTACTGGGACTACGGACATTCCTGTGTTCCTTCCTCTGGCTGGAGGAGGGCTGTGGTACTGCAAGCAGGGGCCATGCCCCTTGCAAACCCTGGGCTCTGCCCTGCCCAGGGCTCCTGTGCTGGGGCACAAGCCCTGCTGGCACCCACGGCTCTCACCCTGCCTCTGAGCCCCAGCGGGCAGCACAGGGGCTGCAGCAGCTCTCCACACTCCTCTCCCCTCTGCTTGCACTGCTTGCAGACCCCAGGGCAAGGGATGTGGTCACTGTGTGCTGCCGGCCATTGCAGGCCACCTTTTCCTCCTAGGTTGGGGTTGATCCTTGCTCTGTGCCTGGTGCTGAGCATGAGCAGCCTGAGGGGGCTCTTTATTCCCTCCTGTGGGGCACATCAAGGCGCAGCAGCAGCAGGACTGTGTAAAATAAAGTTTTGTACAGGAAGATGGAGTCTGGCAGTGGTATTTCCTGGGTGCTTTCTTTCATGAGGCTTTGCCTGGGAAGGTGTCTTGCAGCAGACCGTCTCCTTGGTGTTGGTCCTGGGAGTCAGAGCCAGGAGGAACTGAAGCTCTAGCTAGCCCTGGTTCCCCAGCAGGAACCTGGGTGCACTTGTGCAACCTGGGTCATTGCCCTGCCCTGGGGGCACCCAAAGAGCTTCCATCCTCCCATCATACAGGCTCTGCAGAAGCTGTGGCCACAGGGGGCATCACCGGCTCTTCAAGTCCTCCAAGCAGAGGCAGCAGGTGGCCTCAGCCTTCAGCCAAAATCACAGAATCACTTATGAGCCCCAGTTTGAAAGGACCCTTCAGGACCATCATGTTCCACACAGGACCACCCAAAAACTAGACCCTGCATCTAAGAGCCTTCTCCAAAAGTTCCTTGAGCTGCATCAGGCTCAGGGCTGTGCCCATATCCCTCCAGAGCCTGTTCCCATGCCCCACTAACCTTTTGGGGAAGAATCTTTTCCAAACAGACAGACAGCCTTCTCTGTGGCAGCTCCATGGCTACAGCCTCCTTTAAGGTATCTGTAGAGAGCGATAAGGTCGCCCCTGAGCATACTTTTCTCCAGGCTGAACAAGCCCAGCTCCTTCAGCCGCTCCTCGTAGGACTTGTTCTCCAGGCCCCTCACCAGCTTCGTCGCCCTTCTCTGGACCCGCTCAAGCACCTCGATGTCCTTCTTGTAGCGAGGGGCCCAAAACTGAACACAGTACTTGAGGCGCGGCCTCACCAGAGCCGAGTACAGGGGGCCGATCACCTCCCTAGCCCTGCTGGTCACAGTGTTTCTGATACAAGGCAGGATGCCGTTGGCCTTCTTGGCCACCTGAGCACACTGCTGGCTCATATTCAGCCGACTGTCCACCATCACTCCCAGGTCCTTCTCTGCCTGGCAGCTCTCCAACCACTCATCTCCCAGCCTGTAGCTCTGCTTGGGGTTATTGCGCCCCAGGTGCAGGACCCGGCACTTGGCCTTGTTGAACTTCATGCAGTTGACCTCAGCCCATCGGTGCAGCCTATCCAGATCCTCCTGCAGAGCCTTTCTGCCCCCGAGCAGATCGACACACGCACCTAATTTGGTGTCATCTGCGAACTTACTGAGGGTGCACTCTATCCCCTCATCCAGATCATCAATAAAGATATTAAAGAGGACTCGCCCTAGTACCGAGCCCTGGGGGACGCCACTAGTGACCGCCCTCCAACTGGATTTGACTCCATTCACCACAACTCTTTGGGCCCGACTACTCAGCCAGTTTTTAACCCAATGAAGAGTAGGCCAGTCCAAGCCACGAGCAGCCAGTTTCTTGAGGAGAATATTGTGGGGAACAGTGTCAAAGGCCTTGCTGAAGTCAAGGTAGACCACATCCACAGCCTTTCCCTCATCCACGCAGTGCATCACTTCGTTATAGAAGGAAATCAGGTTCATCAAGCAGGATCTGCCTTTCATAAACCCATGCTGACTAGGCCTGATCACTTGGTTGCACTGTAAATGCTGCATGATGACATGCAAGATAATATGCTCCATGAGCTTCCCTGGCGCTAAGTTCAAACTAACAGGCCTATAGGTCCGCAGGTCTACCCTCCGGCCATTCCTGTAGATGGGCATCATGTTTTCTACCCACCAAATTCAATAGGAATCGTCCCCCATAAGGATAAGGGCAGTGTTTCCAGAGGCATGCCTTAGTTTCTTAAAGAACAGTTCATCCATGTCATCATAATCCTGGCTGCATGCAGAAACTGTCCATCCTGTCCTTGGAAGCCATTTCCACACCAAAGTCTCCACCCTGCTGCAGAAGAGCTTTGCTTGCCAGAGGGCAAATGGTCTGCCCATTTCTCCTCCACTGGGATGGACAGAGCCGGGAGTGGGGCTGGCTCTTTGTCCCCACCACCCTGGGAAAAGGGTGGCACTGAGATGCTCGGCAGCCAGCTGTGCCTCTTTCCCTGCAGCCTCCGATGTCGCTCTGCCCTGCAGCATCTTGCACCCATCCCCCAAGGGTCAGGGCTCCACCCAGAGGGTTACTGCAGACAAGAGCTGAGCAGAAGTTGGTGAAGTCACGTGTAGCCTTCTAGTTCCTGCAGCTGTGGTGGGTGCTGTGAGGGACGACTATTCTGGTGAGACTGCCTTGGAGAAGAACACCTGAGGCTGCCTTCTGTGTCCCCCAGCCCATGATAAGTGCAGGCTCTGCACCCTGCCCAAGGCGCTGCTGGCCGTGGCTCCCTGTGCCCAGGCCTGCAGCCCCTCAGTACCTTACTCTTCTACCCCCAGATCCTGCTCCCGCTGCAGCACAGATGGGGCTCCCCTGGGGCTGCGGCCGCCCCAGCCTCACCGGCCATGCCAGCGGCTTCCTGACTACCCTCGTCACTCTGCTCCTCCTCCAGCTGGGCTCAGGTAGGATCCTGCAGGGATGCTGGGGGCTCTCCCCCCTCTGCATACAGATGTGCTGCCATAGGGCAGGGGAGCGGCTCCAGGGTAGGGGGACCAGAGCCCACAGCTCGGTCCCTGCTGGGTTTCACTTTCCCTTTGTTTCTTTCACACAATATGGGCGCTGCCTTGACTGCCATTTTTGGCTCTTCTTCTCCTGCCCAAAAGCTGCAGAGAGGGCTCCCACTCCCAGCACCCCTCCTTCTCCTGCACGTCCTTCCTCTCCCTCTCCTGTTTCCCTGGTGGTTTCCCATGGGACATGGGGGACACAGCACGCACCAACTCATGAACAGCTCACCCTTTGTCACTCACTGACCCTACATTTACGATGGCAAAATCTCACCGCCTCTCTGTGCCCTTCTCCATTTCCCAGCCCAGCTCAGAGTGGAGGGACCAGGACACCCTGTCACTGCCACCGTGGGGCAGGATGTCGTGCTGCCCTGCCACTTGTCCCCTCAACGCGATGCTCACAGCTTGGAGGTCAGGTGGATTCGGCGCACGATATCTGAGACAGTGCACCACTACCGCAATGGAGAGGACCTGTATGGGGAGCAGATGGGGGCATATGCCGGGAGGACAGAGTTGTCCAGAGATGGTCTCTCTGCTGGAAGCCTGGACTTGCGAATCACAGGGCTGAGACCCTCTGATGATGGCCAGTATTTCTGCACTGTGAAAAATACTGATGCTTACGATGAAGCAATTGTGGAGCTAGAGTTGTCAGGTTAGTGTCTGGTGTGAGGCATTCAAGGGATGGTGCAGGTGTCCCTGAGTTTCTGTGTTCCACCCAGGACCCGGTCCCATCCTCATGGCCATCTACGAGGCCTTGCAAACAGTACAGTGTGATGGGGCTTCTCTTCTGCTTGTGAGCACTTTTCCAGCAAGGAGTACAACTGTGCCCTTGCAGGCTTTTTATTGAGAAAGAGCTGCATGAATGCAATGATTTAATTCAGTCTCAGGGGCCTTCTTTGAACTCCATCCCCATGCTGTTGTGTGGGCAGTGGGCACAGGTTGCTGAGCAGGTCCTTCAGCTGTGCCAACAATAGGTGTGGTTTAGGGGTGAGAATGTCTACATGGAGTGCCCGGTCCCTGAGCCCCTGGGGCCGTGGTTGTCCTGGGCTGTGTCTGGCTTGGGAGCAGATGGGGTCATTGCCTTGAAATGAATCCCTCCCCAAGTCAAGCCCCAGCCACACGCTCTTCCCTCAGCCACAGGCGCTGACCCCCACCTCTCCCTGGGGGGCTACGAGGCCGGAGGCGTCCGGGTGCTGTGTCGATCGGCCGGCTGGTACCCGCTGCCGCAGCTGCTGTGGAGGGATGCTCGTGGGCAGCACCTGCCCTCGGTCTCCCAGACACATTCCCAGGACCAGGAGGGGCTCTTTGAAATCGAAGGTGCCATCATCGTGGCCGGGAGCGTGGAGGGGCCCTTGTCCTGCGTGGTCAGGAACAGCCGCCTGCAGCAGGAGCGGGAATCATCCCTGCACATCGCAGGTACAAATGGCACAGCCAGGGTGAGGTGTTCCTGACCCCTGAATTTTCCTGACCCAGAAGTCATCTGGGTCTTGCTTTTCTAATCCCAGGCATGTAAACACAGCCCTTTTCCTGCTGTCTTTTCTCAGCTCCTTTTTTCCTCAACGCTCAGCCCTTTATAGTGGCTCTGGCTCTGGTCCTTGTGCTTTTGGCTGTGTCCATTGGCCTCGGTGTTTATCTCTTTCGAAAGCAAGGTAAGCTGGCAGCGCAGGGATGCAGCGGAGGGAGGTGTTCTGCAGGGACCCCCCTGAGTCTGGAGCGGGGCTGAGCCCTGGCCCAGGGAGGTGTGTAGGAGGAGGGAGGGAATGTTCTCCTGGGGATGCCAAAGGCCTTAGGATCGTCGTGGGCCTCTGCCTTGGGCAACGAAGGCAGGGGAGAAGGCAAGGGGCCTTGGGTGGGAGGCCAGGGAGCATGGCTGCAGCGTGGGGCTGGTGGCAAGGCGCAGCCCCCCTGCACATGTTCCCACCCAGCAACCAAGCTGCTCTGCTGACCCACGTGGTCCTCTGCCTTTGCAAATGCCAGTTATGCTACTTGGCAAGCTTGCTCATTGGTGGCTGTACTAGTAGTGTTCACGCGACTATCATGCTCTTATTCTGCTCGTTGATTCGTTGTCATGCGGACTGCTCATACTGGTTGTTTTCTCAACTCCTCAATTGTTACTTCTTCTTCGACCTTGTCCTACTTGCCTTGTACCTTATCTTGCATTTTTCTACTAGCTACTTTATTTCTGTGTCTAGCAGATTCCACAGGCTTCCAAACTGAGTTCCCATGACTCCAGTCCCTCCCAATCTGGGAGTAAGTTGGCCTGTGCCCATTGCACACTGTATAGATTTTGGTGTCTTCCCACTGGAGCCACCATGAGATGAGAAGCTGTAACCTCTGATCACCATTGCTTTTACTTCCATTTTCCATTGGAAAAAACAAACAAACAAAAAAAAGATGCAGAGCAGAGTAAGTCTCCTTTTATATATCCAAAGATCTGGTGTCTTCCCTTGGGAGCAGCCATTAGCTGTGCAGCTCTCCCTTCTCATCATGCATTGTTCTTGCTTTCCTTTTCCATCGCAACAAGCTGAACAGCTTGGTGAGTCTCCATCTCTTATTCAAATGCATTCAGGTCTAGCCATGAAATGGGCTTTCTCCCCTGATCATGCATTGCTTTTGCTTTTCTTTTAGAGAGGAAAAAGTGGAAATGCTGGGTTAGTGTTCTTCTCCAGCCTTAAGAAATTTGACCTTACCCTTATTAGTAGCCCTGGTATGCGTAGCTGTCCCCTCTCATCATGTGTTGCTTTTCTCTTTCTCTTGCAGCTACACAAGCTACAGAGCTGGGTGAGTGTCCCTCCTGAAACTTAAAATATAAAATTAAATTAAATTAAATTAAAATTAAAAAGTCTGTATTAAGGAAAAAGGTGAAAAGAGAAGTTTTCTCTTTTCATCATGAGTTGCTTTTACTCTTGTTTTGCAGAGAAAAAAGATGCAGAGCTGGGTGAGTCTCTCTACAACAACAAAAAAAAAAAGGCAGTTTGGAGTCCAGTTGAGCTGGGGACTCTCATCATGTCTTGCTTTTCTTTTCCTTTTTCTAGAGAAACAAGCTGCAGAGCTGGGTGAGTATCCCTCCCCAAACTGAAAAAAAAAATGGAGGTCCAGCCATGGAATCAGAGGCTGTCCCCTCTCATCATGCCCTTTTTTTTCACTTTTCTAGTGGAACAAGCTGCAGATCTGGGTGAGTGTCACTGCACTTGGACCCCAGGGAACACCAAGGCAATGCGCAGGGGAGGGTGGGCAGCTGGGACAGAGCAGCCCAGGGCTGGCCCCTCACCCTACCCATACTCACTGGGTACCAGCCATGGGCTGTGACCAGCTCTCCCCTCTCCTTCCAGCAAGGAGAAAGTTTCTGCTGTCTCATAATAGAGGTAGGTGTGCACTGGGTTGCCCTCTGTAGTGCTCCTCTTGCCCTTGCTGGGGCATGTTCAGGAGCCAAGAGGTGCCCCATCTCCTGCCCCGTGGGGCAGCTCCTGGCCCCGAGCTGGGGAAAGCCTGCCCAGGGCTGAGCTCTGCCCCTGATGGCCTGGCTCCTTCTGTCCCTGCAGTGAAGGTGACCCTGGATCCACTCACGGCTCATCCCCGGCTTGTCGTGTCTCTGGACAACAGCAGTGTGAGATGGGAAACTGAACGGCAGCAGGTGCCTGACACACCGCAGAGATTTGAGTCTTGGTGCTGCGTGCTGGGCCGTGAGGAGTTCAGAGAGGGGAGGCACTGCTGGTTGGTGGAGGTGGAGGGAGAGCAGCAAAAATATGCTTGGTGGGCTGTGGGGGTGGCCAGAGCATCTGTGGAGAAGAAGAAAGGGATCAAAATTTGCCCCCAAGAGGGAATTTGGGCTGTTCAGTATGATGAAGGAGATTTCACGTCTCTTACATCTCCTCGCACCCCCTTGTCTGTGTACCACAACACCACGAGGATCTGGGTCTTTCTGGATTTTACCCAGAGGCAGGTGTCTTTTATCAACGCTGACAATGGGTTCGAGATCTTCACTTTCACAGCAGCCACTTTCAATGGGAAGAGCATCCGCCCCTGGTTTTTGCTGGAATCACCAGAAACTAAGCTTCGTCTGAGGGACAGCGCCCCCCAGACCCTGTCCCCAGCCCTGGGGACCTCCGATGATTTTCCAGCCACTCCTCGAACACCTCTCCTTGGCCCTGCAGGAGCAGTGCAGGAATGAAGGGCAGTGGGGCCAGGGGCTGCTCCGTGTTCCTCCCTGCTGCTGGAGGAGGGCTGGGATGCTGCAAGCAGGAACCAGGCCCCTTGAAGCCCCTGGGCTCTGCCCTGCACGTGGCTCCTGTGCTGGGGCACAAGCCTTGCTGGCACCCATGGCTCTCACCCTGCCTGAGCCCCAGCAGGCAGCACAGGGGCTGCAGCAGCTCTCCACGCTCCTCTCCCCTCTGCTTGCACTGCTTGCAGACCCCAGGACAAGGGATGTGGTCACCGTGTGCTGCCGGCCATTGCAGGCCACCTTTGCCTCCTAGGTTGGGGTTGATCTTTGCTCTGTGCCTGGTGCTGAGCATGAGCAGCCTGAGGGGGCTCTTTGTTCCCTCCTCTGGAGCACATCTATGCAAGATGCAGCAACTTGGGCCCCTCGCTACAAGAAGGACATCGAGGTGCTTGAGTGGGTCCAGAGAAGGGCGACGAAGCTGGTGAGGGGCCTGGAGAACAAGTCCTACGAGGAGCGGCTGAAGGAGCTGGGCTTGTTCAGCCTGGAGAAGAGGAGGCTCAGGGGCGACCTCATCGCTCTGTATAAGTACATTAAAGGAGGCTGTAGTGAGGCGGGGGTTGGCCTGTTCTCCCACGTGCCTGGTGACAGGACGAGGGGGAATGGGCTAAAGTTGCGCCAGGGGAGTTTTAGGTTAGATGTTAGGAAGAATTTCTTTACCGAAAGGGTTGTTAGGCACTGGAACGGGCTGCCCAGGGAGGTGGTGGAGTCACCATCCCTGGAAGTCTTTAAAAGACGTTTAGATGTAGAGCTTAGGGATATGGTTTAGTGGGGACTGTTAGTGTTAGGTTAGAGGTTGGACTCGATGATCTTGAGGTCTCTTCCAACCTAGAGTTTCTGTGATTCTGTGAACAGGACTGTGTCAAATAAAGTTTTGTACAGGAAGATGGAGTCTGGCAGTGGCATTTGCTGGGTGCTTTCCGTCCTGAGGCTTTGCTGCCTGGGATGGTGTCTTGCAGCAGACCGTCTCCTTGGTGTTGGTCCTGAGAGTCAGAGCCAGGGAAAGGTGGAGAAAACACAGTGCCAAGGGCTCAACAGTTGAGATAAGGATGGGGAGCTCAGTCAAAAATTATCGTGACAGGCAAAACAGACTCAGAGTAGAGAGATAATAAAATTTATGGCGTATTACCAACAGCCTAGAGAAGTGAGAAAAAAAAGGAAAGGCACCCAAAACACCTTCCCCATATCTACCTTCTTTCACCTTCTCCCCCCTGAGGGGCACAGGGGAATGAGGGCTGCATTCAGTCCCTGATGGTTTTTCTCCAGCGCTCCTTCTTGGTCACTCTCTGCCCCTGCTCCATGTGGGGTCACTCCCACAGGATGCCATCCTTCCCAAACTGATCCTGCAATGGGCTGCCCACAGGGAGCATCTCTTCAAGAACTGCTGTGGTAAGGACCCTGTCCGTACCACAGGGTCCATCCATCAGGAGCAAGCTGCTCCAGCACGGGTCCCCCACAGGCAGCAGCTCCCCCCAGACCCTCTGCCCCTACCTGGGCTCCTCTCCATACACTGCAGCTTCAGCCTGGAATCTGCTCCAGCAGGGGTTCTCCACAGGCTGCAGCCTCCTTCAGGGCAGATCCACCTGCTCCACCGTGGTCTCCTCCATGGGCTGCAGCATGGAACCCTGCTCCACCATGGGCCTCATGACAGGCTGCAGGGGACTTCTGCTCCGGTGCCTGGAGCACCTCCTGCCCACCTTCTTCACTGATCTTGGTGTCTGCAGGGCTCTTTCTCATTCCTTTCTCAATCTGCTGTTGAGCAGAAGTGTTTTGTGTTTTTTTTCCTTTTTCTTTTTTTTTATTTTTATTTTTTTCCCTTTTCAAAATATGCTTTCACAGAAGCACAAACAACATTGTTTATTTACTTGGCTCTGGCCTGTGGTGGGGCCCTTATCTGACATGGCGCACCTTCAAGACTCTTCTCGCAGAAGCCACCCCTATGGACCCCAATACCAAAACCATGACACATAAACACAGTACACCTAGACATTGCACTGCTCTGGGGGCACCTGAGGAGCTTCCAACCTCCCATCACACAGGCTCTGCAGAAGCTGTGCCCACAGGAGGTATCACCAGCTCCTGGATTTCCTCCAAGAAGGTCTGACCCTCCCCGGTGGCAGCTCCATGCCGTTCCCTCGAGCCCTGTCGCTGTCCCCAGAGAGCAGAGCCCCTCCGCTCCCCTCATCAGGAAGCTGTGGACAGCCACGAGGCCTCCCCTGCGTCTCCTCTGCTCTGTGCTCAACAAGACAAGCGCCTTCAGCCGCTCCTCACACGCCTTGCCCTGCAGAGCCTTTGCCGTCCTCGTAGCCCTCCCTTGGAGGCTCTCGCACAGTTTCACGCCCTTCGTCTGCTGCGGTGCCCACAGCTGCACGCAGTGCTCGAGGCGAGGCCGCAGCAGGCCGAGCAGAGCGGGACGATCCCTTCCCTCAGCCGGCCAGCAGTGCCGTGCCTGAAGCACTCCAGGGCACGCTTGGCCCTTTGGGCTGCCAGGGCCCGCTGCTGGCTCACATCCAACTAGCCATCAGCCACAACCCCCAGCTCCCGTTCTGGGGGCTGCTCTCCAGCCTCTCGCCCCCCACGCTGTCCGTACAGCCGGGGCTGCCCCTGCCCAGGTTCAGGGCCCGGCACTTGCTCTTGTTAAACTTCCCACAGCTGGTGGATGCCCAGCTCTCCCCTTTGGCCAGATCCCTCTGCAAGGCCTCTCCACCTTCGACAGAGCCAGCATCTCCTCCCAGTTCAGTGTCAGACACAAACTCAGTGTTTGTGAGTTAACAATACTGTTAAGCTTCAACTCTAATTGAGCTTTGGCCATTTGAATCTTTCCCCCTAATGACAAGGGCAGCAGATCCAGATGCATGCCTTAGTTCCTTCAAGAACAGGTCATCCATGTCATCATCCTGGCTGCATGCAGAAGCTGCCCCTCTGGTCCTCGGAAGCCACTTCCATGCCCAAGCCCCAACCCTGCTGCAACAGGGCTTCTCTTGCCAGAGGGCAAATGGTCTGCCCATTTCTTCCTCCTGTGCATGGGCAGAGCCAGGAATGGGGCTGGTTCTTTGCCTGCACCACTCTGGGCAAAGGGTAGTAGCACGGTGCTCAGCACTTAGGCATGGAAATAAAACTTCACAACTCCTAAAGAGTTATAAAGCAGGTACGTTTATTACAGTACTGGGTGCAAGGGGGATCGCTCCTCCTAGCATGCACACCAATGGTTACTGCCAGGGTGTTTATATTGATGGGATATATGCATATTCATTTCATTTCCTGCAAGCCTCTTACATATTCATCAGCTCTCCGTAAATCATTAACATAGGTTTCCACCCCTATCTGCATGCACACTAGAGTCCTCAGGCAGTTGTCCAGTGTACTCTGCTAGTCTTTTGATGTAGGACAGAAGTCTTCCTCACTGCTAAACTTCTGATCTTTCCTTTCTTTTACAGACTTCAGCAGTCAAGCCAGTTCTTGCTGGCTTCATTATCTATGCATGCAGTCTTTGACAACCTTATCTTTCAGGTTGCCCTCTCCTTGTGTTTAACACACAACTGTGTTAGCTAAGAACTACAGAATCAACATCCTTTGCCTTGTTCCCTGTCTCAATCTTTTAGGGTCATCCTGTCCTCGTACTCCCTAGCTCAGTCCTGTCCTTGAGGTTGATATAAAACATAGTCCCTGGGTTAGCTGAAACCTGCAATATAGACATGCTTTCCCTTGTTCCCTGTCACAGCACACAGCTGTGCCACTTTCCCTGCAGCCTCTGATCCCACTCCGCTCTGGAGCCTCTTGCTCCCAGCCCCCAAATGTCCAAGCTCCTCCCAGAGTTTTACTGTTGTCCGGAACTGCGTAGGAGGTCTGGAATTTTGGCATACCCCTGTGTTTCCTGCAGCTCGGCTGGGTGTGGTGAGAGACCTCTCCGTGGGGCTTCCCTGGAGGAGAACCCCTGGGGGCTGCCTGCTGTGTCCCCCAGCCCGTGATAAGCACAGGCTCTGCGCCTTGCCCAAGGTGCTGCTGGCTGTGGCTATTTGTGTCCAGGGACAAGGTGACTCCTTCCCCATCTGCCTGTGGTGCCTGAAGGCCCTCGGTCCCCTCTTTCTTCTGCTCCTACTTCTGCCCTCAGCTTCTGCTCCCGCTACAGCACAGATGGGGCTCCCCTGGGGCTGCGGCCACCCCAGCCTCACCGGACATGCCAGGGGACTCCTGACTTCCCTCCTCACTCTGCTCCTCCTCCGGCTGGGCTCAGGTAGGGTCCTGTGGGGCTGCTGGGGGCTCTCCCCCCTAGGCGTAGCGGACGTGCTGCCATAGGGCAGAGGAGAGGCTGTGGAGCAGGGGGAGCCCTAGCCCACTTATCAGCCCTGGCGGCTGGGTTTAACTTTCACTTTCGTTCTTTCACACAATACGGGTGCTGCCTTGGCTGCCCTTTCTGTGTCCCCTTCACCTGCCTGAATGCTGCAGAGAGGGCTTCCACTCCCAGCACACCTCCTTCTCCTGCATGTCATCCCTCTCCCTTTCCTATTTCTCTGCTAGTCTCCAATGGGACATGGGGGACCTAGCACGCACCAACTCACGCACAGCTCACCCTTTGTCACTCACTAACCCTAAATTTACGATGGCAACCTCTCACCGCCTCTCTGTGCCCTTCTTCATTGTCCAGCCCAGCTCAGAGTGGAGGGACCAGGCCAGCCTGTCACTGCCACCGTGGGGCAGGATGTCGTGCTGCCCTGCCACTTGTCCCCTCAACATGATGCTCGCAGCTTGGAGGTCAGGTGGATCCGGGATGAGTTCTCTGAGACAGTGCACCACTACCGCAATGGAGAGGACCTGTACGGGGAGCAGATGGAGGCATATGCTGGGAGGACAGAGCTGGCCAGGGATGGTCTCTCTGCTGGAAACCTGGACTTGCGAATTACAGGGTTGAGACTTTATGATGACGGCCGGTACATCTGCATCGTGAAAAATGCTGATTCTTATGATGAAGCAACAGTGGATCTGGAGGTGTCAGGTTAGTGGCTGGGGTGATACTGCCAGGGGATTGTGTGGGTGTCCCTGGGTTTGAGTGTCCCACCCAGGTCCCAGTCCCATCTTCATGGCCATTGATGAGGCCTTTCAATGACTTGAGTCTGATGGGGATTCTTTTCCTCTGTCTGTGAGCATTTGTCTAGCAAGAAGCACACCTGTGCCCTTGCAGGCTTTTTACTGAGGAAGAACTGCATGGAAGCAATGGTTTTATTCAGTTTCAATGGCCTCTTTGAACTCCATCCCTACGATGTTCTGAAGGCACTGGGGAGAGGCTGCTGAGCAGCTCCTTCAACTGTGCCAACCATGGGAACAAACCAAAATCCTAGAGCAGGGAAGAGACCTCTGAGCAGCTGGACCTCTGCTTGCTTTTGCTTCTTGTGCTGGGGGAGATCAAAGACATTGTCTAAAAGTCATGAGGATTCTTGAAACAGCACGGCCTAGTGCAGAGACACTGCCTGGAGGTGCTGGAGCTCTGCACATAGGTTTTATGTGTGATTTGGGGCCACTGGTGTTGTGCAGCCCTGCTCTCTGGGTCCAGCACCAGACGGTTGATTTGGGGAAGAGAATAGGTACATGGAGTGCCCTGTCCCACGGCCTTCGAGGCCATGGCTGGTCTGTGCAGTGTCTGAATGGGAGCAGATGGGGTCTTTGCCTTGGAAATGAATCCCTCCCCAAGTCAAGCCCCAGCCACGTGCTCTTCCCTCAGCTACAGGCGCTGACCCCCACCTCTACCTCGGGGGTTACGAGGCCGGAGGCGTCCGGGTGCTGTGTCAATCAGCCGGCTGGTACCCGCTGCCGCAGCTGCTGTGGAGGGGTGCTCACGGGCAGCACCTGCCCTCGGTCTCCCAGAAACATTCCAAGGACCAAGAGGGGCTCTTTGAAATTGAAGGTGCCATCATCGTGACCGGGAGCATGGAGGGGCCCTTGTCCTGTGTGGTCAGGAACAGCCGCATCCAGCAGGAGAGGAAATTTTCCCTGCACATCGCAGGTACAAATGGCACAGCCAGGGTGAGGTGTTCCTGGCCCCTGCACTTGTCCCGACCCAGGAGAAGTCTGGGACTTGCTCTTCTTCTGGGACTTGCGGGCATGTAAATACAGCCCTTTTCCTGGTGCCTTTTCTCAGCTCCCTTCTTCCACAACGCCCAGCCCTGGATGGTGGCTCTGGCTCTGGTCCTCGTGCTTTTGGCTGTGTTCATTGGCCTCGGTGTTTATCTCTTTCGAAAGCAAGGTAAGCTGGCAGAGCAGGGATGGAGCGGAGGGTGGTGTTCTGCAGGGATCCCCCTGGGTCTGGAGCAGGGCTGAGCCCTGGCCCAGGGTGGTGCGTAGGAGGAGGAAGGGAATGTTCTCCTGGGGATCCCAAAGGCCTTCGGATCGTCTTGGCTGGGAGGCCAGGGAGCATGGCTGCAGCGTGGGGCTGGTGGCAAGGCGCAGCCCCCCTCCACATGTTCCCACCCAGCAACCAAGCTGCTCTGCTCACCACCTCTTCCTCCGCCTTTGCTTTTCAGCGGCACAGAGGCGAGAGCTGGGTGAGTCCTTGCAGTCCCTGTCCCCAGCCCCTGGGGAAGTGGTGTCCCTGCGGGAGGGCCTGTGCTGGGTGGGCTCTGGGGGCTTGTGTGCTGGTGGCTCGTGGGTGCTGGAGGAGCAGCTGGAGCCTGGTGTGGGAGTGGGGAGTGCTGGGGCTGGGGCTTCCCTAGGCATGGGATATGGCCGGGATGGCTGAAAGGAACGGGGAACAAGGTGGGGATGGGGAGCGAGCTGCGGGGCTGCCCCGCTCTGCACTGACGCCTCTGGGACAGGGATGTCTTCCAACACAGACATAAACCTCAGAACTGGTCAATGTCCCTTCTAATCCCTAATGTCATGTGATTCTGCAAAATGTCTGTCCTTACTGTTCTACTTGAAAGGGCATTGTACAAAGCTGGGCCTTAATGACTATTAGTCCGGTCCCGCCTTAGGGGCAAGGAAATCTTTTCCTGCTCCTGAGATGTGTTCAGGCTCTAGCTATGTGCTGAGCAGCTCTCCCCTCTCATCAGGCATTGCTCTTATTTTCCTTTCCAGAGAAACAAGCTGCAGAGCTGGGTGAGTATCACTGCTCTTGGGCCCAAGGGGAACACCAAGGTGATGTGCAGGGGAGGGTGGGCAGCTGGGACAGAACAGCGCACAGCTGGCCCCTCACCCTGCCCACACCCACTGGGCACCAGCTGTGGGCTGTGACCTGCACTCCCCTCTCCTTCCAGCATGGAGAAAGTTTCTGCTGCCTCACAATACAGGTAGGTGTGTGTTGAGTTGCCCTCTGTGGTGCTTCCACTGCCCTTGCTGTGAGATGTTCAGGAGCCAAGAGGTGCCCCATCTCCTGCCCCATGGGGCAGCTCCTGGCCCCAAGTTGGGGAAAGCCTGCCCAGGGCTGAGCTCTGCCCCTGATGGCCTGGCTCCTTCTGTCCCTACAGTGAAGGTGACCCTGGATCCAAGCACGGCTCATTCCTATCTCATCGTGTCAGAGGACCAAAGGAGTGTGAGATGGGAAAGTAACTGGCAGCAGTTACCTTATAGCAAGGGGACATTTGACAATTGGTGCAGCGTTCTAGGACGTGAGGAGTTCAGAGAGGGGAGGCACTGCTGGCAGGTGGATGGGGAAGAGGGAACGCATTCTTTGTGGACTGTGGGGGTGGCCAAGGCATCTGTGGAGAGGAAGGGGTGGTTCAACATGACTCCTGAAGAAGGAATCTGGGCTTTGCAGTATGATAAAGGGAAGATCTTATCTCTCACATCTCCTCCCACCCCCTTGTCCCTGTCTCCTGTCCCCACAAGGATCTGGGTCTGTCTCGACTGTACCCAGGGGCAGGTGTCTTTTATCAACGCTGACAATGGAGTCAAGATTTACACTTTCAAAGAAGCCTCCTTCAATGGGGAGAGCATCCGTCCCTGGTTCTGGCTAGGGACGCCAGGAATTCAGCTGTGCCTGAGGGACAACACCCCCCAGACCCTCTCCCCAGCCTTGGGGGGCTCCTGCCCTTCTCCAGACACTCCTGCATCACCTCTCCTTGATCCTGCAGGAGCAGCACAGGAATGAGGGGCAGTGGGGCCAGAGTCACTCCTTTATTCCTCCCTGCTGCTGGAGGAGGGCTGGGATGGTGCAAGCAGGAGCCAGGCTCCTTGAAGCCCCTGGACTCTGCCCTGCCTGTGACTCCTGTGCTGGGGCACAAGCCCTGATGGCACCCACAGGTCTCAGTCTCCCTCTGAGCCCCAGTGGGCAGCACGGTCCTCTTCCCTCTGCTTGCACTGCTTGCACTGCTTGCATACTCCAGGGCAAGGGATGTGGTCACCATGTACTTCTGGCCATTGCAGGCCACCTTTCCCTCCTAGGTTGGGGTTGATCTTTGCTCTGTGCCTGGTGCTGAGTATGAGCAGCCTGTGGGGATTCTTTGTTCCCTCCTGTGGAGCACATGAAGGCCCAGCAGCAGCAGGACTGTGGCAAATAAAGTTTTGTACAGGAAAATGGAGTCTGGCAGTGGCATTTCCTGGGTGCTTTCTGTCCTGAGGCTTTGCTGCCTGGGAAGGCGTCTTGTAGCAGGACGTCTCCTTGGTATTAGTCCTGGGAGTCAGAACCAGGAGGAACCAAAGCGCCAACTGCCCCTCGGTTCTCCATCTGTTGCCTGGCACCCCCTTTTCCCAGCTGGGTCATTGTCCTGCCCTGGGCTAGACAGGGTAATGACCCAGCTGGGACAAGGGGATCCCCAAGAGCTTCCATCCTCCCATCACACAGGCTCGGTAGAGGCTGTGCCTGCAGGGGGGGCATCACCAGCTTTTTTGAAGTCCTCCTAGCAGAGGCAGCAGGTGGCATCAACCTTGAAGCTGTCTATCAGGTCCTTTCAAGCCATCTCCATGTCCCATGTTTCCCTTCCACCACCCAAGTTGTTCCTGTGGCTGTTTTATTTTCCACTGCTCAGGGCAGGGTTCAGCCAGAGATGGGCTTGCAGGAGCCATGGGGCCACCCCAGCTTCACCAACCCTTAGCTATCAGTAACAATCCTGCACTCCCAGAAAACCAGTGCCACTTTTTACACCTTGTTTAAAAGCAAGCAGGGAAACAAGCTGACATTCTCAAGCCAAATTCATTGTGGTGTATTTTAAACATCACAGCATTAAAATCAGGAGCAGACACAGTGGGGAAACAGGGGAAGGAAATGCGTTCGGAAGACACTGCATCTGATAGAAGCAGGTGATCCAAACAGACCGAACCTCAGTGAGAGGGAGCCTCCGTGGCTGCAGGACTCCCTTGGCCTCTTCGAAGGTTTAACTATATGAAGGTGGGAAGCTAAAAATAGGTTTTGAACCCAGCTACACAATGAGGAGACACAGATGCTCTCCTCCAGCTGGTTCTCAATGCTAAGCTGGGTGGTCTCCACACCCAACCATCCATCTTCATGCACGTGGGGTCTCACCATCCCAAAATCCCATCATCCTTCATCCCATTGAGATCCCACCATCCTCACATCCCATCCTCTTTAATCCCAGCAGGGTCCCACCATCCCCAAACCCCATTGTCCTCCACCCTGCTGCAGAAGAGCTTTGCTTGCCAGAGGGCAAATGGTCTGCCCATTTCTGCCTCCACTGGGATGGACAGAACCAGGAGTGGGGCTGGCTCTTTGTCCCCACCACCCTGGGAAAAGGGTGGCACTGAGATGCTCGGCAGCCAGCTGTGCCTCTTTCCCTGCAGCCTCCGATGTCACTCTGCTCTGCAGCATCTTGCACCCATCCCCCAAGGTCAGGGCTCCTCCCAGAGGGTTACTGCAGGCAAGAGCTGAGCAGAAGTTGGTGAAGTCACGTGTAGCCTTCTAGTTCCTGCAGCTATAGTGGGTGTTGTGAGGAACGACTATTTTGGTGAAACTGCCTTGGAGAAGAACACCTGGGGCTGCCTTGTGTCCCCCACTCCATGATAACTGCAGGCTCAGCACCCTGCCCAAGGCGCTGCTGGCTGTGGCTCCTTGTTCCCAGGCCTGCAGCCCCTCAGTACCTTACTCTTCTACCCCCAGATCCTGCTCCCGCTGCAGCACAGATGGGGCTCCCCTGGGGCTGCAGCCACCCCAGTCTCACCGGCCATGCCAGGGGCCTCCTGACTTCCCTTGTCACTCTGCACCTTCTCCAGCTGGGCTCAGGTAGGATCCTGCGGGACTGCTGGGGGCTCTCCCCCCTGTGCATGCAGATGTGTTGCCATAAGGCAGGGGAGCGGCTCCAGGGTAGGGGGACCAGAGCCCAAAGCTTGTTCCCCGCTGGGTTTCACTTTCTCTTTGGTTCGTTCACACAATACGGGCGCTGCCTTGACTGCCCTTTCTGGCTCTTCTTCACGTGCTCAAATGCTGCAGAGAGGGCTCCCACTCCCAGCACACCTCCTTCTCCTGCACGTCCTTCCTCTCCCTCTCCTGTTTCCCAGGTGGTTTCCTATGGGACACGGGGGACGCAGCACACACCAACTCACACACCAACTCATGCCCTTTGTCACTCACTGCCCCTAATTTACGATGGCAAAATCTCACCACCTCTCTGTGCCCTTCTCCATTGCCCAGCCCAGCTCAGAGTGGAGGGACCAGGCCACCCTGTCACTGCCACCGTGGGGCAGGATGTTGTGCTGCCCTGCCACTTGTCCCCTAAACGGGATGCTCGCGAGTTGGAAGTCAGGTGGATTCGGCGCATGATATCTGAGACAGTGCACCACTACCACAATGGAGAGGACCTGTACGGGGAGCAGATGGGGGCATATGCCGGGAGGACAGAGTTGTCCAGAGATGGTCTCTCTGCTGGAAGCCTGGACTTGCGAATCACAGGACTGAGACCCTCTGATGATGGCCTGTATGTCTGCATTGTGGAAGATGCTGATGCTTATAACGAAGCAGTTGTGGAGCTGGAGGTGTCAGGTTAGTGGCTGGGGTGAGGCATTCAAGGGATGGTGCAGGTGTCCCCAGGTCTGTGTGTCCCACCCAGGCTCCTTTCCCATCCTCATGGCCATCTACGAGGCCTTGCAAACAGTACAGTGTGATGGGGCTTCTCCTCTACTGGTGAGTACTTGTCCAGCAAGGAGTAAACCTGTGCCCATGCAGGCTTTTTATTGAGAGAGAGCTGCATGAATGCAATGATTTAATTCAGTCTCAGTGACCCTCATTGAACAACATCTCCATGCTGTTGTGTGGGCAGTGGGTACAGGTTGCAGAGCAGGTCCTTCAGATGTGCCAACAATAGGTTTGGTTTAGGGGTGAGAGTGGCTCCATGGAGTGCCCTATCACTGAGCCCCCGTGACCGTGACTGGTCTGTGCTGGGTCTGGCATGGGAGCAGATGGGGTCTTTGCCTTGGAATGAATTCGTCCCCAACTCAAGACCCAGCCAGAAGCTTTTCCCCCAGCCACAGGCGCTGACCCCCACCTCTCCCTGGGGGGCTACGAGGCCGGAGGCGTCCGGGTGCTGTGTCGATCAGCCGGCTGGTACCCGCTGCCGCAGCTGCTGTGGAGGGATGCTCGCGGGCAGCACCTGCCCTCGGACCCCCAGACATATTCCCAGGACCAGGAGGGGCTCTTTGAAATCAAAGGCGCCATCATTGTGACCGGGAGCGTGGAGGGGCCCTTGTCCTGTGTGGTCAGGAGCAGCCGCCTCCAGCAGGAGTGGAAATTTTCCCTACACATCGCAGGTACAAATGGCACAGCCAGGGTGAGGTGTTCCTGGCCCCTGCACTTGTCCCGACCCAGGAGAAGTCTTGGTCTTGATTTTCTAATCCCAGGCATGTAAATACAGCCCTTTTCCTGGTGCCTTTTCTCAGCTCCCTTCTTCCACAACGCCCAGCCCTGGATGGTGGCTCTGGCTCTGGTCCTCGTGCTTTTGGCTGTGTCCGTTGGCCTCAGTGTTTATCTCTTTCGAAAGCAAGGTAAGCTGGCAGCACAGGGATGGAGTTGAGGGAGGTGCTCTGCAGGGACTCTGCCAAAGGCCTTAAGATTGTCTTGGGCCTCTGCCTTGGGCAACGAAGGCATGGGAGAAGGCAAGGGGCCTTGGGTGGGAGGCCAGGGAGCATGGCTGCAGCGTGGGGCTGGTGGCAAGGCGCAGCCCGCCTGCACATGTTCCCACCCAGCAACCAAGCTGCTCTGCTCACCACCTCTTCCTCCGCCTTTGCTTTTCAGCGGCACAGAGGCGAGAGCTGGGTGAGTCCTTGCAGTCCCTGCCCCCAGCCCCTGGGGTAGTGGTGTCCCTGCGGGAGGGCCTGTGCTGGGTGGGCTCTGGGGGCTTGTGTGGTGGTGGCTCATGGGTGCTGGAGGAGCAGCTGGAGCCTGGTGTGGGAGTGGGGAGTGCTGGGGCTGCCCTGGGCATTGGACACGGCTGGGACGGCTGAAAGGAACGGGGATCAATTGGGGATGGGGAGCGAGCTGCGGGTCTGCCCCGCTCTGCACTGACGCTTCTGGGACAGGGATGTCTTCCAACAATCTCTTTGTCACTTCCATTGGGGTATGGGTTACACAGATATAAACCTCAGAAGTGGTCAATGTCCCTTCCAATCCTTAACATCCTGTGATTCTGCAAAATGTCTGTCCTTACTGTTCTACTCGAAAGGGCATTGTACAAAGCTGGGCCTTAATGACTATTAGTCCAGTCCCACCTTAGGGGCAAGGAAATCTTTTCCTGCTCCTGAGATGTGTTCAGGCTCTAGCTATGTGCTGAGCAGCTCTCCCCTCTCATCAGGCATTGCTCTTATTTTCCTTTCCAGAGAAACAAGCTGCAGAGCTGGGTAAGTGTCACAGAGCTTGGGCTCCATGACATCTCCAAGGAGATGTGCTGGGGAGGGTGGGCAGCTGGGACAGAGCAGCGCACGGCTGGCCCCTCACCCTGCCCACACCCACTGGGCACCAGCTGTGGGCTGTGACCAGCACTCCCCTCTCCTTCCAGCATGGAGAAAGTTTCTGCTGCCTCACAATACAGGTAGGTGTGTGTTGAGTTGCCCTCTGTGGTGCTTCCACTGCCCTTGCTGTGAGATATTCAGGAGCCAAGAGGTGCCCCATCTCCTGCCCCGTGGGGCAGCTCCTGGCCCCAAGTTGGGGAAAGCCTGCCCAGGGTTGAGCTCTGCCCCTGATGGCCTGGCTCCTTCTGTCCCTGCAGTGAAGGTTACCCTGGATCCAAGCACAGCTCATCCCCAGCTTGTCATGTCTCAGGATAAGAGAACTGTGAGACGGGAAATGAAACAGCAGCAGGTGCCTGACACAGAGGAGAGATTCGACAACTGGGGCTGTGTGCTGGGCCGTGAGGAGTTCAGAGAGGGGAGGCACTGCTGGCAGGTGGAGGGGGTGGTGGGAAATAATTCTTGGTGGGCTGTGGGGGTGGCCAGGGCATCAGTGAAGAAGAAGGGAAATATCACTGTGAGCCCCAAAGAAGGCATCTGGGCTTTGGATTCCAATGACGGGCAGCCCCCAACTCAAATATCTTCTCGCACTCCCTTGTCCCTGTCCCCTGTCCTCAAGAGGATCTGGGTCTGTCTGGACTATACCAAGGGGCAAGTGTCTTTTATCAACGCGGACAATGGGGTCAAGATCTTCACTTTCAAAGAAGCCTCCTTCAATGGAGAGAGCATCCGCCCCTGGTTCTGGCTGGGGATAAATGCCCAGCTGTGTCTTAGGGACAGCACCCCCCAGACCCTGTCCCTAGCCCTGAGGGGCTCCAGCACTTCTACAGACACTCCTGCATCACCTCTCCTTGATCCTGGAAGAGCAGCGCAAAACTGAGCGACAGTGTTGCCAGGGGCTGCCCTGCAATCCTCTTGTGCTGGAGGAGGGCTGGGATGCTGCAAGCAGGGGCCAGACCCCTTGCAGCCCCTGGGCTCTGCCCTGCAAGCGGCTCCTGTGCTGGGGCACAAGCCCTACTGGTACCCACGGGTCTCACCCTGCCTCTGAGCCCCAGCAGGCAGCACAGGGGCTGCAGCAGCTCTCCACGCTCCTCTCCCCTCTGCTTGCACTGCTTGCAGACCCCAAGGCAAGGGATGTGGTCACCGTGTGCTGCCGGCCACTGCAGGCCACGTTTGCCTCCTAGTTTGGGGTTGATCTTTGCTCTGTGCCTGGTGCTGAGCATGAGCAGCCTGTGGGGGCTCTTTGTTCTCTCCTGTGGGGCACATCAAGGCACAGCAGCAGCAGGGCTGTGTCAAATAAAGGTTTTTTGTGAATTTACAATACTGTTAAGCTTCAACTCTAATTGAGCTTTGGCCATCTGAATCTTTCCCCCTAATGCCAAGTGCAGCGGATACAGAGGCATGCCTTAGTTCCTTCAAGAACAGGTCATCCATGTCATCATCCTGGCTGCATGCAGGGCTTCTCTTGCCAGAGGGCAAATGGTCGGCCCATTTCTTCCTCCTCTGCGATGGGCAGAGCCAGGAGTGGGGCTGGTTCTTTGCCTGCAGCACTCTGGGCAAAGGGTGGCAGCTCAACACTCAGCACTGAGGCATGGAAATCAAACTTCACAACTCCTAAAGAGTTATAAAGCAGGTACGTTTATTACAGTACTGGGTGCAAGGGGGATTGCTCCTCCTAGCTTGCACACCAGTAGTTATTGCCAGAGTGTTTATATTGATGGGATATATGCATATTCATTTCATTTCCTGCAAGTCTCTTACATATTCATCAGGTCTCCGTAAATCATTAACATAGGTTTCCACCCCTATCTACATGCACACTAGAGTCCTCAGGCAGTTGTCCAGTGTACTCTGCTGGTCTTTTGATGTAGGACAGAAGCCTTCCTCACTGATAAACTTCTGATCTTTCCTTTCTTTTACAGACTTCAGCAGTCAAGCCAGTTCTTGCTGGCTTCATTATCTATGCATGCAGTCTTTGACTCCCTTATCATTTAGGTTGCCCTCTCCTTGTGGTTAACACACAAATGTGTTAGCTAAGAACTACAGAATCAACATCCTTTGCCTTGTTCCCTGTCTCAATCTTTTAGGGTCATCCTGTCCTCGTACTCCCTAGTTCAGTCCTGTCCTTGAGGTTGATATACAACATAGTCCCTGGGTTAGCTGAAACCTGCAATATAGACATGCTTTCCCTTGTTCCCTGTCACAGCACACAGCTGTGCCACTTTCCCTGAAGCCTCTGATTCCACTCCGCTCTGGAGCCTCTTGCTCCCAGCCCCCAAATGTCCAAGCTCCTCCCAGAGTTTTACTGCTGTCCGGAACTGCGTAGGAGGTCTGGAATTTTGGCATACCCCTGTGTTTCCTGCAGCTCGGCTGGGTGTGGTGAGAGACCTCTCGGTAGGGCTTCCCTGGAGGAGAACCCCTGGGGGCTGCCTGCTGTGTCCCCCAGCCCGTGATAAGCACAGGCTCTGCGCCTTGCCCAAGGTGCTGCTGGCTGTGGCTATTTGTGTCCAGGGACAAGGTGACTCCTTCCCCATCTGCCTGTGGTGCCTGAAGGCCCTCAGTCCCCTCTTTCTTCTGCCCCTACTTCTGCCCTCAGCTCCTGCTCCCGCTACAGCACAGATGGGGCTCCCCTGGGGCTGCAGCCACCCCAGTCTCATAGGCCATGCCAGAGGCCTCCTGACTTCCCTCGTCACTCTGCTCCTCCTCCGGCTGGGCTCAGGTAGGATACTGCAGGGCTGCTGGGGGCTCTCCCCCCTAGGCCTAGCAGACGTGCTGCCATAGGGCAGAGGAGAGGCTGGGGAGCAGGGGGAGCCCTAGCCCACAGATCAGCCCTGGCGGCTGGGTTTAACTTTCACTTTCGTTCTTTCACACAATATGGGCGCTGCCTTGGCTGCCCTTTCTGTGTCTCCTTCACCTGCCCGAATGCTGCAGAGAGGGCTCCTGTTCCCAGCACAGCTCCTTCTCCTGCATGTCCTCCCTCACCCTCTCCTGTTTCCCGGGTGGTTTCCCATGGGACATGGGGGATGCAGCACGCACCAACTCACGCACAGCTCACCCTTTGTCACTCACTGCCCCTAAATTTACGATGGCAACATCTCACCGCCTTTCTGTGCCCTTCTCCGTTGGCCAGCCCAGCTCAGAGTGGAGGGACCAGGCCACTCTGTCACTGCCACCGTGGGACAGGATGTCGTGCTGCCCTGCCACTTGTCCCCTCAACATGATGCTCGCAGCTTGGAGGTCAGGTGGATCCGGGATGAGTTCTCTAAGACAGTGCATCACTACCGCAATGGCGAGGACCTGTATGGGGAGCAGATGGGGGCATATGCCGGGAGGACAGAGTTGGTCAGAGATGGTCTCTCTGCTGGAAGGCTGGACTTGCAAATCACGGGGCTGAGACCCTCTGATGATGGCCTGTACATCTGCACTGTGAAAAATACTGATGCTTACGACGAAGCAATTGTGGAGCTAGAGTTGTCAGGTTAGTGTCTGGTGTGAGGCTTTCAAGGGATGGTGCAGGTGTCCCCAGGTTTGTGTGTCCCACCCAGGACCCTGTCCCATCCTCATGGCCATCTACGAGGCCTTGCAAACAGTAGAGTGTGATGGGGCTTCGCCTCTGTCAGTGAGCACTTGTCCAGCAAGGATTACACCTGTGCCCTTGCAGGCTTTTTATTGAGAAAGAGCTGCATGAATGCAATGATTTAATTCAGTCTCAGAGGCCTTCTTTGAACTCCATCCCCATGCTGTTGTGTGGGCAGTGGGCAAAGGTTGCAGAGCAGGTCCTTCAGTTGTGCCAACAATAGATTTGGTTTAGGAGTGAGACTGGCTCCATGGAACGCCCGGTCCCTGAGCCCCTGGGGCCATGGTTGGTCTGTGCTGGGTCTGGCATGGGAGCAGATGGGGTCTTTGCCTTGGAATGAATCCATCCCCAACTCAAGCCCCAGACACATACTCTTCCCCCAGCCACAGGCGATGACCCCCACCTCTACCTGGGGGGCTACGAGGCCGGAGGTGTCTGGGTGCTGTGTCAATCGGCCGGCTGGTACCCACTGCCGCAGCTGCTGTGGAGGGATGCTCGTGGGCAGCACCTGCCCTTGGTCTCCCAGACACATTCCCAAGACCAGGAGGGGCTCTTTGAAATCAAAGGCACCGTCATCGTGACCAGGAGCATGGAGGGGCCCTTGTCCTGCGTGTTCAGGAACAGCCGCCTCCAGCAGGAGAGGAAATCTTCCCTGCACATTACAGGTACAAATAGCACAGCCAGGGTGAGGTGTTCCTGGCCCAAGCACTTGTCCCGACCCAGGAGAAGTCTGGGACTTGCTCTTCCACCTGCGGGCAGGGTAACGCAGCCCTTTTCCTGGTGCCTTTTCTCAGCTCCCTTCTTCCACAACGCCCAGCCCTGGAAAGTGGCTCTGGCTGTGGTCCTCGTGCTTTTGGCTGTGTCCATTGTCCTCAGTGTTTATCTCTTTCAAAAGCAAGGTAAGCTGGCAGAGCAGGGATGGAGCGGAGGGAGGTGTTCTGCAGGGACCCCCCTGGGTGTGGAGCGGGGCTGAGCCCTGGCCCAGGGAGGTGCGTAGGAGGAGGAAGGGAATGTTCTCCTGGGGATGCCAAAGGCCTTAGGATGGTCTTGGGCCTCTGCCTTGGGCAACGAAGGCAGGGGAGAAGGCAAGGGGCCTTGGCTGGGAGGCCAGGGAGCATGGCTGCAGCATGGGGCTGGTGGCAAGGCGCAGCCCGCCTACACATGTTCCCACCCAGCAACCAAGCTGCTCTGCTCACCACCTCTTCCTCTGCCTTTGCTTTTCAGCGGCACAGAGGCGAGAGCTGGGTGAGTCCTTGCAGTCCCTGCCCCCAGCCCCTGGGGAAGTGGTGTCTGTGTGGGAGGGCCTGGTCTGGGTGGACTCTGGGGGCTTGTGTGCTGGTGGCTCGGGGGTGCTTGAGGAGCAGCTGGAGCCTGATGTGGGAGTGGGGAGTGCCAAGTGAAAGTCTCTTCACTCTGGTCATTCATTCCTTTTGCTTTTCTATAGCAGCGAAAAAGGATGCAAAGCTGGGTAAGTCTCCTTCCCCTAAGAGAAGGCATTTGGTGTCTTCCCATGGGCATACTCCCTTCTGACCGTACATTCTTTTCTCTTTCTTTTCCAGTGCAACAAGCTGCAGAGATAGGTGAGTGTCCATCCATGAACTGAAAGAATTTGCGGTGTAGACATGGGATGAGAAGTATTTCTCTCTGATCATGTATTCCTTATGCTTTTCCAGAAGAAAAAGCTGAAAGACTGAGTGAGTCTCTCTTTCCCTGCCCCCTCACCCCAGTACTGAAGAAACTGGGGTTCATTCCTTTGTAGCAGCCACTTGATAAAAACCTGACTCCTCTCATCAATGCATTGCTCTTATTTTCCTTTTCAGAGGAACAAGCTGCAGAGCTGGGTGAGTGTCCCTGCATTTAAGCCCCAGGGCATCATCAAGGCGATGTGCAGGGGAGGGTGGGCAGCTGGGACAGAGCAGCCCAGGGCTGGCCCCTCACCCTGCCCACACTCACTGGACACCAGCCATGGGCTGTGACCAGCTCTCCCCTCTCCTTCCAGCATGGAGAAGGTGTCTGCTGCCTCAAAATAGAGGTAGGTGTGCACTGAGTTACCCGCTGAGGTGCTTCCTCTGCCCTTGCTGGGGCCATGTTCAGGAGCCAAGAGGTGCCCCATCTCCTGCTCCGTGGGGCAGCTCCTGGCCCCGAGCTGGGGAAAGCCTGCCCAGGGCTGAGCTGTGCCCCTGATGGCCTGTCTCCTTCTGTCCCTGCAGTGAAGGTAACCCTGGATGCAGACACAGCTCATCGTGACCTCATCGTGTCAGAGGATCACAGGAGTGTGAGATGGGAAATTGAATTGAAGGACATTCCTGACACAGATGAGAGATTTGAGAGTCGGTGCTGCGTGTTGGGCTATGAGGAGTTCAGAGATGGGAGGCACTGGTGGGAGGTGGAGGTGGAGGGGGAGGGGAAGAGAGAAAGGAATTCTTGCTGGGCTGTGGGAGTGGCCAGGGTATCTGTGAAGAGGAAGGGGGTGTTGAACATGAACCCTGAAGAAGGGATCTGGGCTGTGCAGTACGATGAAGGACAGCTCATGTCTCTCACATCTCCTCGCACTCCCTTGTCCCTGTCCCCTGTCCCCACGAGGATCTGGATCTGTCTGGACTGCACCCAGCAGCACTTGTCTTTTATCAACGCTGACAACGGAGTTGAGATCTTCACTTTCACAGCAGCCAACTTCGATAAAAAGCCCATCCGTCCCTGGTTCCTATTGTGGACACAGGGAATTCAGCTGTGCTTGAGGGACAGCAACCCCCAGACCCTGTCCCCAAACCTGGGGGGCTCCTGCCCTTCTCCAGCCACTCCTGCATCACCTCTCCTTGGTTCTGCAGGAGCAGCACAGGAATGAGGGGCAGTGGGGCCAGGGGCTGCCCTGTGTTCCTCCCTGCTGCTGGAACAGGGCTGGGATGCTGCAAGCAGGGACCAGGCCCCTTGAAGCCCCTGAGTTCTGCCCTGCCCCTGACTCCTGTGCTGGGGCACAAGCCCTACTGGTACCCACAGGTGTTAACCTGCCTCTGAGCCCCAGCAGGCAGCACAGGGGCTGCAGCAGCTCTCATTGCTCCTCTCCCCTCTGCTAGCACTGCTTGCAGACCCCAGGGCAAGGGATGTGGTCACCATGCGCTGCTGGCCAGTGCAGGCCACCTTTGCCTCCTAGATTGGGGTTGATCTTTGCTCTGTGCCTGGTACTGAGCATGAGCAGCCTTTGGGGGCTCTGTGTTACCTCCTCTGGAGCAGGGCTGTGTCAAATAAAGTTTTGTACAGGAAGATGGAGTCTGTCAGTGGCATTTCCTGGATGCTGTCTTTTCTGAGGCTTTTCTGCCTGGGAAGACGTCTTGCAGCAGACCGTCTCCTTGGTGTTGGTCCTGGGAGTCAGAGCCAGGAGGAACCTGCGCTCGAGCTCCCCACGACTCCTCAGCTGAAACCTGGGTGCACTTGTCCCAGCTGGGTCATTGCCCTACCCTGGGGGAACCCAAAGAGCTTCTAGCCTCCCATCACACAGGCTCTGCAGAGGCTGTACCCACAGGGGGTATCACGAACTCTTGGAAATTCTCCAAGCAGATACAGCAGTTGGCCTCAGCTTTGCAGCTCTCCCTCAAGTCTTTGCAAGCCACCTCCATGCCTCAGCACCCATCCTGCTGCAGTCGTTTCACTTCTCAGCGCCCAAATTCTTCATGAGATGGGCATGCAGGAGCCATGGGGCCACCCCAGCTTCCCCCAACCATCAGGAATCAACAGCAAACCTGTGCTCCCAGAAAACCAGCTCCACTTTATTGCACCTCCTCTTAAAGCAAGCATGACAAAGAAGCTGACACTCTCAAACCAAATTCATTGGGAAATTTATTCTAAACATTGCAGCATTAAAATTAAGAGCAGACACAGGGCGGAAACTGGGGAAGGAAATGCATTTGGAAGACACCGCATTCAGTAGCAGTGGTCCGCAAACCCCATCATCCATCTCCATCCATGTGGGGTCTAACTATTCAAAAAACCCTCATCTCTTATCCTACTGAGACCCTACCATCCCCAAACCCATCTTCCTTCCTCCCAGCAAGGTCCCATCTCCCAAAATTCCATTGTCCTCCACTCCAGTGGAGATCCACCACCACAAACCCCATTCACCTTCATCCCAGTGGGGTCCCACCATCTCCAAAACCCCATCATCCTCCATCCCACTGGGCTCCCACCATCCCCAAAGTCATCCACCGGGACTGGGAACTGACTGACCACCATGTTCCCTAAGCACTACGAGAAGCTGTGCCATGACCAACAGCTGCATGCCCGGTCCTCCTTAATTCACAGATGTAATCTTCAGAGGGTTGTTTGGGAGGAATAGTAAAAGTTGAAGGCACAAGCAGCAGTGAAACTCAAGTTTTTATCCTTGATAAGATGGATGGGATGTGGAGGAGCTGCGATGTTGTGGGGATGGAGACCCGAAGGCCCCCAGGAAAGGGCTGGGCCAAACCAACTCACTCACTGTGCAGCTCCTTCCGGAGGTGTGTCCGCAGGTGCTTCATGAGGGAAGAGCTGGACATGAAGCACTTGGTGCATTTGGTGCATTTGTAGGGTTTCTCCCCAGTGTGGATCCTCTGGTGGATGATGAGGGTGGAGCTGGCCCGAAAGCTTTTCTCACAGTATGAGCATTGGTAGGGCTTTTCACCCGTGTGGATGCGCTGGTGCCTGCGGAGGGACGTGGTCTCCCGAAAGGCTTTCCCGCAGTCGGAGCAGACATGGGGCCTGGGCCCCACATGGCTTTTCTGGTGGAGGAGGAGGGCTGAGGGAAGAGTGAAACCCATCCCGCAGTCAGGGCACTGATAGCGTTTCCCTACCAAGTGCTTTTTCTGGTGTTGGTTGAACGCCGAGCTTTCAAAGAAGGCTTCCCCACAGTCGGAGCAGCGATAAGAGGGCTGACCCTGGTGGGTCCTGAGATGGGCTACGTAGGCTGAGTTCTTTGTAAAGCTTTCCCTGCACTGGGGACATTTATAGGTCCCCTCCTCCAGGTGGCTCTTGCGATGCTTGCTGAGCGACTTGTTGGCCATGAAGCGCTTCCCACACTCGGGGCACTCATAGGGCCTCTCACCAGTGTGTATGCGCCGGTGGATGATGAGAGTTGAATTGGAAGTGAGTTTTTTCCCGCAGTCTGGACAGACAAAGATCCCATCCTCTGTGTGGCTCTTGCGGTGCTTGCTAAGCGACTTGTTGGCCATGAAGCACTTCCCACACTCTGGGCATTTGTAGGGCCTCTCGCCGGTGTGTATCCTGCGGTGGATGAGAAGAGCGGAGTTGGAAGTGAGGTTTTTCCCACACTCAGAGCATTGGTACACGTTGCTCTCGTGGTGGAGCTTGCAATGCTTCTGGAGAGAGCTGCTGGACACAAAGCGCTTCTCGCACTTGGGGCACTTGTAGGGTTTCTCCTGGCAGGGGTTTTTCAGGTGGTCTTTGAGGCTGGAGCTGCACACAAAACTTCTCCCACACCTGCAGCACGCGAAAGGCTTCTCCCCCACATGGACCCTCTGGTGCCGGTTGAGAGATGAGCCACGGCTGAAGCTCTTCCCACACTTCCTGCACGCGTGCTTGTGTTGCCCTAGCTCTATCCTCGATGAGCTCTTGTGTGGATGCTTCCTCCCGTTGTGGCTGGAGGAAGCCGATCTCCGTCCCGAGTGGCTCTTGTGGTGCTCGTAACCCAGGGAGGTACCATCTTTGGGATTCCTCATGGTCTCGCCACGCAGCTCCACCCACTCTCCCTCTTCCTCCTGTGAACTGTCCTCCGTCTCGCTTGTCAACCCATCCCCTGCCAGGACAGAGGGAGAGAAACCAGAGAAACCATGGAAAAGTGTCTGGGAGAAGTGGGAACAAAGACAGAAGAATGAAGGACAGGATCCCACACATTTTTTCCCTGGAGGAGAATCATAAAAAGGAAGGAATTCATCACCAGCCTCAACGTTCAGGGTAGGGGGCTTGCAGGAAGGATGGAGAAAAACATCACCAAGAAGTGCTGTCAGGACTCATCCTACCAGGCCAAGCTGATCTAGAAGTAGCAGCCCACCTCTCTAAGGAGAGTTATTAGGTATTTATGGATGACAAAGCTCAAAGGCCTTGCATGCCCTCACCCCCTTCTACCAACTCCCCCCATTTCCAGTATGGGACTACAGTCCTGCTTGTGGGTGGCCTGGAGTGATGCCCGGTGTGTGGACATGTCCCAGTGGGTGTCCCCAGCTCAGGGGAGAAAACAAGCCCCTTACCTGAGTAGGATGAATTGGAGCCGGAGGAACTTGCTGCATCTCGGCAGCTTTTCCACCGCTTCCTCTTCCTCGCCCACAGCCTCAGGAGGGGTCTCACCGGTTCTTCATCCTCAGAGGTCTCGATGTCGGGGATCCAAGCCTCTTCCCCTTGCTCCAGATGAATGAGCAGCCCAGGGCTGTACGCTGGGAAGACTGCTCAGTTAGACAGCAGTGGACTACTGGGTAGAGCACAGCCACGCACGAAGCCTCATCACACAGAACATGGCTGTGATCTTATACCTGAGCCTTCTGCAAAGTGAAAAGAAAATCCACATGCCCAGGGCTCTCTGAGGAGGGAAGAGCTGGGTCTTTCCAGAGCAGTATCTACACCCAGACTCATCATTCAAGAGATGTCCAGGTGATTCAGAAGGCAGATGTACATCCCAGGGCATAGTAAGCTTGAAGAGAGGAATCAGCCTCCAAGACTACTTCTCAAGAAGACAGAAAAGCCCAGCAGCAGGGAGAGTGGATGAGAAATGCAGAAACTGCCCATCTGAACAGATTCAGGGAGTATGGAGCAGGAGGAAAAGGAAGGCTGGAGAAACAGAGAAAGGAGAACAGGTTGTGACCCAGGCCTGGCAGATGGCCTGGGTGCATCTCACCCAAGTGAGTTTTATTTACTTGGAGAAAAATCTGCCACACTCACAAGGTAATGGGCTGCCTCTTGTTAACGCAGAGACTTCAACCAGTTGAACATCTCCTCCAAGAGCAAAACGCTGCAGAAGGGCTAGGGGCACACAAAGCAAGAAAGGATGCTCAAGGGCAGAGCTGGATTGGGCAGCACTACACAAAGGCCAGCGGGCTGCACATCTGAACGGGTGACTTTTGTCCTCTTGTCTGCTAATGGGCACCAGTGTACTTCAAGCCTGAATCGTTGCCTTTCATTATTTCTTAGGTGGAGCAGCTCAGCTTGACAAAGAATGCCAATACCATCTAGAAAACCAGCAGGAACCTAAGCTAAAAGGTTTAGTACTGATGCTACCCAGTCCCACAATGAAATTTCATTAGAAAAGAGCAACAAAGACAATAAAAGGTCTGGGAAACCTGCAGAATGATGAGACTGAAGTTTATCTGGGTCATCTGATGACAAAGCAACTCTGTTTCCTTTTTCAGTGTTGTTTTGCCCTTAAGATCAGAAGTTCCTAAGAAGCACAATAACTTGGGTCCATCTTTAGAGCCTCAAAATATTGCCTGGATGCAACCCTGCTCCCAAACACCGACTGGAAAGCAACCAAGGAACAGCCCAAATCAAGGCTGTACCTGTGATTATCCACCTAGGGATCAACATCCACACATCGCCTTGTGATGAGCAGAACCCCAAACCTTTCATTGCCCATCCCAGTGCCCTAAATGCTCAACTTGAGTCATCTTGCCATCTTGCGTACTCTTCTCCCGGACCTGCAACTCACATCTCCTGGCCGGAGAAGCTTATGGGCTTCATCACACAGCTGTCAGGAGAGGGCACTGTGAGCCCAAAGGAGCCTCCCAGACCCATCTAGCAAAACCCCAAATTTTTGGTTTTAATTCAATTCAATACCAGCAGTTTTGCTCAAGCTGCAAACCATGTTTGGGGTGTTTGAACCAACCACAAGGGTTTGGGCATTTGAGCCAAGTTCTCAGCTAAGTTTCTGGCTGTGGATTAAGTAGAAATCCCAAACTACTAAAGAAATACCTAATTAGCATCATGCACAGAAAGATCCCTTGCAGTTTTCTCCCTTGCTGTCCTTATCCATCATTCTACCTTCTTGTCCTGCTGATATTTCTCTTGGGAATTTGCAAGGGAAGGGTGGAAAAGCAAAGAAACAAGCAATCTTGAGTGTGCCAAAAGCAGAACCAGAGTAGAGAGGGCCTGTGCAGTACAGGAGCAAGTGTGTAAAGCAGGAAAAAAGTTTTGAAAAAGTGTAATTCGTTTGGAAAGGAGGTTTTTTATGGCGTGGGGTCCCCCTGGTGGCAGGTCTTTTGCACACCCTTAGCAAGCTCCCCGCATGGTCCTGAGGTTGAATTGTCCCTGGTGCATGGCACAAAAATCTTAAAAGGTCCCATTGTGAATTAGTCAAATTCGTCAATTTTTTTGCTGTCATTTTAGAGGAGGAGCAGAAGGGCTTTGTCCCAGGGTAGTGTGGCCGAGCGGTCTAAGGCGCTGGATTAAGGCTCCAGTCTCTTCGGGGGCGTGGGTTCGAATCCCACCGCTGCCAGATTTCTTTTCTGGGAGCACGGGGGGACCCCAGCCCAGCTGGAGTGCACTGCAGGGTTACACAGCAGGAGCCCTGCAGAAGGGAGCAGAGCAGCACATCTGGGGTTCTGCTGGACCCAGTGAAGAAGAAGCTGCAGCCCATTTGCAAGGACACCCAGGGGAAGGATCCTGCTCCTGCCTCTGCCCCACGTTTTTCCTCCTTTCACTGCACATCCTTGTGCCTCTAAATAGTTGTAGGAAGCCAATTGAGAACTGAAGCCAGGGGGGTGAAGCCCTCCAGGGCATTGCAGTGGGTGATTTTCAGCCCATGCAGCATCTCCCACCTTCCTCAAGCCCCCTGCCCATCCCTGCAGCCCAGGACCCCACTTAATTAATTTCTAGATCCATGCCAGCTTAATTAAAAGTACTTAATTACCAAAGTAAGCATCATGCACAGAGTTACTCAGAGAAGCTCCACAAGTGGTATATGGACAAGTACAGTGGAAACGCAATTGGATTTAGGGTTGATTCCACCTTCCCTTTCCACAGACATCACCTGGGCAAGGTAAGGTCCCTTTGCATTTTTCTCCCTTGCTGTCCATAACCCAGCATTCTCCCTTCTTCTCCTGCTGACATTTCTCTTGGGAATTTGCATGGGAAGGGTAGAAAAGCAAAGAGATAAGGATTCTCTCAAGCATCCCAAAAGCAGAAACCCACCACAGAAGTGCTCGCCAAGACATACAAATTACAAAGCAAGAAAAAATGAGTTGAAAAAGCTGCATTTCTTTCAAAAGGAGCCTTGCTGCTTGAAACCAGGAATGGAAGGGCTACATGGAAATGAACTTAGGGAAGATTCAAAGACTGGTGTGTTCTCCTGAACACCGAGCTACCTGTCATGGCTGAGGGACTGCGATGCTCCAAGGGAATTTTGGGAATGGAGGCAGAAGGGTTCCCTACCTGGCTCGAGCACAGGCGCCTGATTTCTCTGCAGGGGGGTTGCGAGAGACCATTGCTTATCCGTGGCAATTACTATTACCTCTTCGAATGCCTCGGGCACCTGGAGGGAAAAGTCAAAGTAAATGAAGTTATAGAAAAGAAAATATATATGAGGATAAAAGTAAAGTGAAGAGAAGTTAAAAGTGAAGATGGAAATGTGAAAATAAGAATGTAACTTATGTGTAAAAATAAATGAAAATAGATGTAAATGAAAATGAAGGTGAATAAACATAAAGAAATGAAAACACAAAAGAAAATGTACAAATACGGAGGATAAATTGAAACATAAATGAAAATTATAAATAATATATTTATAAAGAAATGAAAATAAATATAAATGAAAACAAACACAAACGAAAATTAAAAGTAAAATATATAAACATAAAGAAGTGAAAACAAACGAAAACCAACACAAATGAAAAATTAAAATAAAATTTATAAATATAAAGAATTAAAAAAAAAAAAACAAGCACAAATGAAATCAAGCACAAAAACAAGCACAAACAAAATCAAACACCAAATATATATATATATATATATGTAACTATAAAAAATCAATAAAAATGGCTTTAACAACCCCTCCTGGAGCTGGTATCCCCGAATGTGCCCCTTACATCCCTTACCTGGGCAGACTCCATCGCTGATACCCGGTTTCAGGGCAACAGTGCCAGGTACAGTGCGGGGGCCATGGCTCTGTGCACCCTACAAAAATTAAATTATTAGTGATAATAGCACATTAAGCCTCACACACACACCCCAAAACAAAACAAAACAAAACACTTTTTTTTCCCGTATTTTTAGAGATATTTGGTTAAATCCAGCCCGGAGGTTTGAGTGAGCTATTTGGGGATGGGAGGACTCACCCCCACGCCCCCTTCCTCCAAGCTTTAATTTTAGGGGCTCCATGTTACCTGTGCGCCCCCGCGTTACCTGAGCATCCCGGTGCTACCTGCGCGCCCTCCGCCGCCGCTGCCTCCCCCCTGGAGGAGGAGTCGGGGGGGGGGGAAGGTAGTGTTAGCCCACTCCCCTTCCCCTCTCCATATGCGGGGGTGGGGAAGGGCTGGAGCCAGCCCTGAGCACGATTTTGGGGATAAAGTTAGTTTTGGTGGTGTTTTGTTTTGTTTTGTTTTGGTTGGTTTTCTTTGTCTTTATTATTATTATTATTTTATTTTTTGCAACTCTGCCTGGCGAAGCTGGGAGGGAGAAATTTGGAGGTGAGAAAAGCTCTGCCTGAGCCCCCCCAGAACCAGCCCTGCCCAAGGAGGAAATAAGGAAAAATGGGGAATATTTGGTTAAAACCCCAAAACGGGTGTCAGCCAGCAGTTGCAAACGCTCACTACTGACTTCCCTGGGAGATTTATTGCAGTTACTTTAAAGCACATCCCAGTGTCCCAACACTGATTTAATACCCACACCTCTACCCCGACACACAAATTAAAGGAAAAAAAATACAGCACAAACTTTCCATGATTCCCTTAACCTGAACAAAATTTTATAAAAATCTAAATTTCTACAAGAGTTTCTAAGGCATCTTTTTCCCCTTTCACTGTCCAGTATTAAAGATAGCAATTTCCCTAATCGATGTGAGATCTGAAATAAAACAGGCCTGGGGTGGAAAATTCAACCCAGCATTGAACTTTGCTCCCAAAGGCCCTGGCTCGCTTTGAGCCCACAGCATCCTCCAACTCCCAAATTTTCCTTTCCTAAAGAAACTAACTTGCAAGTGGGGGGAGGGGGGGGGGGGGGGGGGAGCACATTTCTGTTCTGCCCTTTTTTTCCAAATAAAAATTGTCCAGATTCAGATTTGCCAGGTAGAGAAACCTTCCTGAAACGTGGAGAGAGAGATTTTAAATTACATTGTGCACTTAAAGTGAAGCTTTTCTTTTTTTTTTCCTGCTTGATTTCATTAGCACCTTCAACAGGCACTGACCCCTTTCTTTTACAGAAGAAAAAAAAAAAAAGGAAAAGAAAAAGAAAAAAGGAAAAGAAAATCCCCGACAAATGTTTGTCTTTAGGAGTGCAGTTATTTCTTTATCACCCTGATGAATGGGAGCTGCCTGGGCTCTGCATTTCTCCCTGCACTACCACCCCCACCCCTGCCAGCTCAATTTCCTCCAAGAGCCAAGACAGCCAACCACAATCTGAAAAAAAAAAAAAAAAAGCCCATTTTCAAGTGAGACCAAGAGCTTCCATCACTTCCATCAGGAGAAAATTGTTCCTTTATCCCAGAGTTGCCCAAGTTGCCCAATTCCCAATTTTTTGGTGTCTCCAGAGTTTTTCTTCCTTAGGGGGTTTTACCGTGATTATTTATCAGACCAGAGAGGGTCAACCCCCCACCCATTCAATTAAATATCCTTAAGATTTCAATCCTTTAACTTTACAGCGCTCAGTAAATCCTATATAGGAGCAAAGCCCCCAAAAACATTGAAGAATGTTTATATGGTTTATGCCCTCGAGGTGTGATACATAGTTCTTGAGTAGAGGTCTACGAGATCTCAGCCACTTCAAAATGTGTAAAATTATTGCATTCACAGAAAATTTTAATGCTATGTAATGTCAATGTTATTTAATATTAATGTTAGTTCATGTTATTTAAAGTTAATGTCATTTAATGATAGTTAATGTTAGTTTAATATTAATGTTATTTATGTTAATGTTAGTAAATGTTATTGTTAGTATTATTTGATGTTAATGCTATTTAATGTTATTTAATGTTAATGTCAACATCATATAATGTTATTTAATGAGCAACACTGTCTTTTTCATAAGAACTCTTGTGTTCTTATCATCAACAAACTTTTTGCACAAGAAACTAACTTTTCCACCCAAACGCTAAATTTCAAATTTGCAGCATCCCCTGCCTTTCAAAATCTCTTCCTTTATTAACCAAAGAGCCCTTTCTGCCTGCTGCCCCAAATAAGCCTGTGGCTTATGGTTTGGGTATCATTTTTTTTCTATTCTGAGCTGTTTTTTAGCTTTTTCTGGCTGCAAATATTAATTGGGTGCTTCTGCCCTTAATTATCATCTCCCCATATTTCCACGGAGAACGCAAGAGCTGAGATGTTCACCCATGGGGAAGCAGAGCCGGCCAAGGCATCCATCTAAAGCAATAAATATGCCAAAACCCACGGGGAATATGAATGAAAGAAGAAATTTAGGAAGAAATTTCAGCTCTCCATGTCTACGGCCTGGCTGGAAAGTCTCTCAACTCCCCTGGGGAAAAAAATAAAAAAAAAATCCACCTTATCAGCCCTGCTATCAAGGAGGACCCCACAGGTGCCAAGTACCCTTTCTTCCAGAGATTGCTCATCTGATACATACCTAATGCAGCCCCATGCTGCTATTCAGCTTGGAAAGCCTTCCCCAGGCTATTTCTGGTCCCGGGGAACACTTTTTTTGTGTGCCTGCTATTCCAGCACAAGGAATAAAAGCCTGCAAAGCAGCACAGGATGGCTGGAAGGGACATTGCTATTATCCATGTGCAAACAAATGCTTTTTTTTAGGAAAATGCACAACACCCTTCCAGCCTGCATGCTGCTTGATCTCTCTCTCTCTCTTTTTCTTTTTTCTTCCCAGTTTTCTGCTACTTTATGTGCTCACGTGGGCCAAGAAATAGTGTTGTTTTATTTATTTTTTTTCCTCTTTCCTCCTATCTAAATTTCCTTGCAGCTCTGCAGATAACATACAAAGAAATCTGAGCTGCTTCAAGGACTTCTACCCCCAAAAAGATGGCCTCGCTTCATCCGCTTCATCCAGTGGTCTGGTTTGGGTGCACAGGGGGGCTGTATCTTAAAAACAGGCTCCCCCGTTGCAATGGAAGAGGTCAAATCTCTCAGAAAGCATCTCCCAAAAGGCAAAACCACCCTTCCTTCTGTAAGAACCACCACGACCTTCTCATGGGACCTACAACAACCTGCATAGCCAAGGATACACCATTCTTGCACTACTCTAAGCCCATCACCCATCTGGGAACGGAGGAGATTCCCATGTTGACAAGCCTTTAGCTCTGGTCTGGTCACCATCATGAGTGTCCATGGCCTGGAGGTGAACCCCAAAAGTACCTCCATAGTGGTGGTCTCAACACCTGGCTGGCAACCCAGGCTGCACCCACCTCCTGTGGTTCCTCCGCTGTTTCTGGTCTCGAGGAATCTTTCTCATGCCCAAAGAAACTCAGCTTGCACAGCCCAAAAGGAGGGAGAAAAAAAAAAAAAAAAAAAAAAAAAAAAAAAAAAAAAAAAGGAACTCCTCTTGGAGGGACATCGCATTTAATGGCTGCAATGCCAGCTTCAGATGTGAGCAACCCAAAACACCTTGCACACTTTCTTGTGCTAAGAGTTTTCAATACTTCTTTGGCCCCTTTTTCTATCCCCGTGCCTGCTCGGGCCCCACAGCTTTCACAGACTTCCTCACAACTCTCCCTTATCGCCTCCTTCTGTGCTGAAAAAGTCATAAATTTTGGTTTGCCTTCCCAGTAGCACGCAGGACTCAAGTTTTCGACCACCTGCCTCACACTGGCTCCTTATCACAACATCCCCAAGGCCCCTCAAAGCACAAAGACATCCTCTGCTTTGCTAAAATAGTAAAACCTGGACATTTTATCATATTAAGTTGCTGAGCCCGTGTAACCCTATAACCTCTAAGCCTATATAACATCATCGGGGAATGTTGTTCTTGGATATCCAAACCAGCTCAAGGAGAATCCATTGGATGGTCATCAGATGGTCATCGATTTTGTTTAGCTAAAATATGAACCAGCCACCCTGGACTCAGTTTTGGACACTGGATGGATTCAGAAACTTCAGTCAAAAGAGATGCTTCATGGTTTTAACAGGGTTTTCCAAGGGGGTGTGATGTGTAGGGGCTGCTCGAGTGGGATATGGGGCTGGTACCCACTGATGGTCCCTTGGGGCATCTCTTGCCCAGGAGAATGCATCTAAGTTGCACACTTAGTGGGGGGAAGCCTACATGCAAACCCCCTTCCCATGAGACTGGGGCTGAAGGGCACATTTATGCTCCTAAAATTAGCATTAGGATCCATTTCCTGCATGTGAACCCAAAGGACACATTCTTTAAAATCCTCAGTCCCTCCAGAATAGGGTTAATGCAACTAGACTGTATATTGGGAATAAACCCTGGGGGTTGCTGTAAAGTTTGAATACAACCCTGGGATTTATTATTATAATGATTGTTGTTGTTGTTGTTTGGGGAGGAGGGGGGTCTCTTTGCAAGATGTACTAAGTCAAAAAAAAAGAAAAAAAAAAAAAAGGATGCCAAGGACCATGCACAAGGCTGCATCTCAAGAGCAAAGCCAGAGATTGGGATCAGAACGGTTTCTCCTCCCGGCCTGGCCTTGCAGGGATCTGCCATGGGTAGGTGCTGGGGGGGCTGGGGCTTTGTGTAGGGCCCCCCGGAGGGATGCTTCTGCCCATTGTGTCAGCCCCGGCCATCCCGGCCCCATTAACTTCCCGATGGCCCATCCAGGCAGCTGCCCAGGGGCTTAACCCTTTCCTCCCAAACTCATCCAGGACATTTGCCGTCATTGCAAATTCATGAGCATGCACCCCCCCTCCAACCCCCTCGAAAAAAAACTTTCTTCCCCCAAAATGTTCCAGAGGCAGCACCTTCTCCAGCACAAACCGCGGTCCCCAAAATCCCTTTTCTTCCCAAATTAAGTTTTTTTGCCAGCCATGAACATTTTGTTTTTCCAGCTTTCTCAAGACTCTTCAAGGTGCTTATCCTCGTGTCAAGGAGTTAAAACTATGTCATCACTGGAACCCCATCTATCCTCCCTCAAATATAGGTTCATCTGCCAGACAGCTTTATTTGGGCTTCTCCATACTGCCTCCAGCCAGCTCCTTTTCTAACCCCACACCAGTATTGTCCCTTTGGTGCACCCTTTGGTGCAGAAGATGGAGCCTGGAGTGAAAATCAGCCGTTTTCCCATGATTTGATGACAAAACACAGAACCATTCTGCTGAAGAAAAGAAAAGAAAAGAAAAGAAAAGAAAAGAAAAGAAAAGAAAAGAAAAGAAAAGAAAAGAAAAGAAAAGAAAAGAAAAGAAAAGAAAAGAAAAGAAAAGAAAAGAAAAGAAAAGAAAAGAAAAGAAAAGAAAAGAAAAAGAAAAAACTTCCTCTTTTATTTCCTCATTGTTTTCTCTGTTTTTAGCCATTTATGGAAGCTTTCTGGACATGTCCCAGTGCCAAGGGGACACTTTGCATCTGAGGAGATGGGATGCCCCATGACTCTGCAAGTGCATAATCTTGTATGCCATTGACTCTCCCCACCTTCTTTTGACTATTAATCCCAAACCTGCCTATAATTGAATTTTTGTTCCCCCCCCCCTCCATTTCTTTAGAGAATCCAGTAGGCAAGATCCTCCCCTAGTGGTTCTTTTAATGCTACCTGTTGCTCAGCTAGCATTTGGTTTCTTTGCTCACTTATTTTGAGGCTTTTGCTACCCCCTTAACTACAAGACTGGGCTTTCTTTGTTCTTCAAACACCTCCCAGGGTTTTGGTTGAGGATTTTCCCTGCAAATGAAGGCCCCCTTTGCACACAGATTTTGCTTGGCTGTGAAGCTGGCACTAACTGCAAAGCTGGTGGTGCTTTGAGGGGGGAGTTAATAGGGTGCAGTATGGAGCAGCAGCTCCTGAAGGACTGGGGAGCCAAGAACAATAACCCAGCCATAGCCCCATCCCATTCCCAATAAAAGAGTTAGGAGGCAGAGGAATTTAAGGGGAAAGAGGGATGGGAGACAATCAGATCAAAGAGAATGACTGTTTACGTTAAAAAATGCCATTAACTATACTAACCATATTACCTGAAGCTGCAGTGTATAAACTCAAAGTGATGGATCATGGCTTGACCTCTGTCTTCTCCATTTGCAACCCAGGGTGAGCCACCGGCAGCTCCTTCTGGATGCTTTCCTCTCATTTTTCCCTTTTCAACAAAGGGAGAGTAAAATTCCCCGTCTAAATCACCCACAAAGGTGTCACCAGCCAAAAACGCCATGAGGACACCTTTATCTAAGTAGTATCTCTTGTACACACAGGTGAGTTCAATGCAACACTTGGAGGAGCAGCAGGTGTCAGAATGGTGCAGTAATTGTCTGGAAATGCACAATAACCACCACCACCCACTCAAGAGGCCACATTTCACAGGACTGGCAGGAGTGGAGACAACTTGAAAAAGAAGCGGGTGGAAGTGCACAGCTCCTTCTTCTCAGCCTCACAACCTGCCATTGGCATGGTGGGGTTTTCCTTCCATGCATCAGGTGGGTGCCAGCACCCTTGTTGGTTTAGCATCCATGTATAGCCAAGGATTGCAAATGAGAACTTCTGGGAGGAAGCAGCTGGCTTGGGGACGCCAGCTTAGGAGCAGCAAAACCCTTAGCTACTGTTACTATGCACAGCAGGAGCTGAGATAGTTCTGCTGAGGTGGATGGGGATGTGCAATCATGGATGGAAGAGTCTTGGGCCACCACAGTAGCACGATACAACTGGAAGAGTCTTGGGCACTTATAGATGACAGCAGGGATTTCACAACCTTGGTCACACCCTGCCCTCTGGTGTGCATGAGGTCTTTTGCCCTGTGGAGAGGCTCTTCAAGGGGAAGCATGAAGGGAGCAGAGGTTCCTCCATGCTGGGGACATGCGGGGCTGGAAGAGGTGACATCAGGCTGAGTTGGGCAATTGGTCCCACGCGGAACCAGGGACGGATCTTCTCCCCGCTCAACGGGGCCAGCGGGAAACTAAAGAGCAGGTCTTGGTTGTCAGCATTGAAAAAGGCTACTTTCTGTCCCTCAAAGTCCAAGTAAACCCTAATCATCCGGGGCACCTGGTTGAGGACGAGAGCTGTGTGGTCAGGAGATGTCAGAGCCCAGTACTTGCCATTGCAGTGGAAGAGGGCCAAGATACCATCTTGCGGAGCAGGGTTGATCCACCCCTTCCTCTTCATGGACTCCCTGGCCACCCCCATTGCCCAGACCCCCCCTCTCTCTGTCCCCACATCCACCTCCCAGAAGCATCTCCCCGAGACAAATCTCTCCTGGCCCAGGACACAGTGGTAGGTGTCGTATCTCTCAGGATTATCAGGCATGGGTTGCCGCACGTCTCCTCGCTGCACCTTCTTCCCATCCGTGGAGAGGATGAGTTGGGGGTGTGCCGTGTCCGCATCCAGAGTGATGTGCACTGCAGGGAGAGAGTCAGATGAGCCTTTGGGATGTATCCAGAGTGGCTCCGAGCTAAGATCTTTCCCCTTGCAGAAATGCGTTGAGACCTCACATGCTCAATGGTCAAAGCTTGGTGGTCTGTCTTAACCTCCAGTGTGGTTCCTGGGTGCTCTTTGGGAGCTGCTTCTGGTGGGTGGATGGGATGTGGCTGCACCCCTCTCAGGAGCTGAGTTTGCAGTGTGAATGTCGGCCACAAACCCAAACACAATTAATTTAGGGGTAGCCTTAATAAATAATTGGGTCTGTCTCTCAGGGAGGAACCAAGAGCATCACCCAGTGGGTCTGGTTGGAGATGCAATGAGTTTACCCATTCTGCAACCCTATAGGGAAGGAAGGGAAGGGAAGGGAAGGGAAGGGAAGGGAAGGGAAGGGAAGGGAAGGGAAGGGAAGGGAAGGGAAGGGAAGGAAGGGAAGGGAAGGGAAGGGAAGGGAAGGGAAGGAAGGGAAGGGAAGGGAAGGGAAGGGAAGGGAAGGGAAGGGAAGGGAAGGGAAGGGAAGGGAAGGGAAGGGAAGGGAAGGGAACTTATTTAGTGGGACAGAAGAGGTGGGAAAGGACACAGAAAGCATCAGACCAACAATGGTGTGGAGGCAGAGACTCAAGGACAGGCAAAGCATGAAGCCAAGGTACCTTCTTCCACTGGGACAATAGTATTTCTCCACCCTGAAACCAAACACACATGATCACAAGTGGGCTCTTTGGTGGAGAGGGATGTTGGAGGCTTTGGACCACTGGCTCTCAGGGCTGCACAACAGCCTCAGGCATGCTTCAGGTTCATTTACTTGAATGTGATTCCATTTACAAAACTGGTGCAGCCTACACAGTGTGGGGATGCATCAAAATGAGAACAGTGCTTTCTCCTTTCTGGTCCAATTCATAATTCATGTGGTTTTTTTTTGTTGTTGTTGTTTTTTTGTTGTTTGTTTGTTTTGAATTCATCAATTCATCATTTTCAGTCCCCCAGGTAGTGTTTTGTAAGCAGCGTTGGTGGGGTCATGGTACTAAAATTGAGTAAATCCCTCTGCCCACAAACATGCTGTTTGAGATAGCCTGATGCTATGATGGGGGGGAAGAGCAAGGATTAAACTTACGTAGTTCTGCAGCATGTTTCTCTGAAACAGAAAAACAAAATGAGCATGTTGTTAGTAGAAGCATTTGGGTCAAAACCCCACACATGGATCCCTACATATCCACCAAACCCAGGGGTATGTTCAGAGGTGCTTTTATAGTGCTAGACCTCCTCATATCTGCCCAGGCAGAGACACAGAGCCAGGGAAAAGCAGATGAGACATAGCTATATGTAAAATTGACTTGAAGAAGGGATTTTGTGCCCCCCACCGGGATGGAAGCAATTAGCGGGGTTGGTGCCACCATCATTTCTCTTTGATGGCCTCTGAGAAATTAAACTCAGATGAAGAAAGTTAGGGAAAGCTCTTCTCCTTGTCCTAGGGCTTTAGTTGGTGGAAGAAGCAAAAGAACACTTACGTATTTCCATATCACGTTCCCCTGGGGGAAAAAAAAAAGACAGGAAAAAAATAAATAAATGGAATTGCTGGAAAGCACTAACTTGGTGCTGGCAATGCATCCAGGCTCTGGTCTGGAATTTGCTCTTTTCCTACCCAAAACACGGGTAATTGAGCTGTTGGAAAGTTATGCAGGTCTGGGGGAAAAAGCTTAATATGACTGTCCTAAGTGGGATTTTGATGGATGGCCTGATTTAATTTGCAGGAAAGGGTTTCTTTATCTCACTTGCATGCCATTCTGTTAGAAGTGTTGCCATTAAAGCTAGCTATTACTTTAACACAGGAAAGAAGGAAGTTCATGTGTTTATTGCTTTCTTGGATTGCTTTTTGGCAAAAAGGTATAACTCTTTACTTTATTAATCTGAAAAGAAGGAAACTGGCCTCTTGAAAACCATACAGTTCACCAATGATATAATTCAACTACCATAGACGTGCTATAGAGGGACTTCAGGAACCACAACCCATCCAATCAGAGATTTATTAAGCCAAGCAAAAAGGGATCTGGTCTTCCCTAAAGCCACTTACCCAAACTGGCCAGTTCAGATGAAGTCACGCACTTTGTTCCCCAAGACACCAGCAAAAGCACTGCTTCCTCCCCACTTCCTTTCCCCAACTCTCTTAATGCAATTAAACAGGCATCCGGATGTAGGGCTCATTCTCCCTGCAAGATTACCCACAAAGACAGAAGAACCATGGTACTTACGGATTTCTGCACTGCGTTTCTCTGAAAGCAAAAGCAGAAAGAAACATGTGAGCGGAACCTTCTTTTCTGACAGATAAGCCATGGGGGGACTGTTGGCAACAAAAGTCTGCTTGGGGTACAGAGAATTGTAAAACTTCTTAACATTAATAAAATATCTGACAAATCTTGGTATCTGCAAGAGGAAGAAAAAAAAAAAAAAAAGAGGACTTTTTCTATTATATTTATGTGAGTGTACTTTCAGAATTTAAATGAAATCTGCCCAGTTTATTTCCTCTATTCCTCAGAATTATTTCACTGTGGCTTTTTGTTGTGAAATTAGCCTGCAACCACTGTTATCAAAGCAGAATGTAGGAGATGCACACAGACACAAGACCAAGCAATGTCCAACCCTCTTCTGGTGGCAAAAAAAAAAAAAAATCCCCTTTGAAATGTGAAATGACAGTTTCTCTTACCAAGTTCTGTGGTGTGTTTGGCTGTAAGAAAGAACAAAGAAAGTGGCACAGATTAAAGGATTTCTTCCACAATAATAATAATGCAATAGATTATTGATTATTAAGTTAACATATCAAGATTATTAACAATCTTAATGATATATCAAAATTACAGAATATCCAACTCAGGGTATTCTATGATTCTGTTGATGGAGATTTTCAGTTCAAATCTGCACTGAATATCAGGACTGTTTTATTTTGTTTTGTTTTGTTTTGTTTTGTTTTGTTTTGTATTGTTTTTTTCTCAGCCAGCACTGGTGTGGTTTATTGTGACATTGCCTCCCCATGGTTTACATAAGGGACTCCGGTAGTCTTACAGCAGGCTTACAGTGCCACCTGAAGCATGGCATTTTCAGAATATTTCCACAGGAGAGGGGTCTAGCAAGTAGTGTCTCAAAGATATAAGGCATTTCAGTTTGGTCTTAGGAGCCACAACCCCTTCTTGCAGTTTCCTAATGCCTTACCTTGTAGCCGATAAAATATCAATGGCAAGAAAATCAGCAAAGCCAAGCAGATGGCCAGGATAGCAAAGAAAGTTACCATCCAGGGAGAGACCTCTGGGAAAATAGCATCTGAAAGGGAAAATGGCCAAGGTGGAGTTAGCGCAGGACATGGAATGCATTTATGTGCATGGGTGTGAATGCAGCTACACAAACACGGTCATGCTATGTGCTTACATACAATTAGTGTAATGTGAGACCATAACAAATACAAATGGGAAAAAGTCTTTAAAAATGATCCAAAACATTTTTGTATTTAATGTCCTGAATACATGGAATAGTGGTATCTTGCAAGTGCTCATTCTCCTTCTCCTTTGTGCACCATCATCTTTGTTGAAATATTTAGACCAGAGGCTGCCATACTTCTATAAAAAATCTTTGCTTCAGAGCTGGCTCTGAAGAAAACTTAGCTGAAATGGACATTTTATTTAAAAAGTTCGGAAAATCCCTGATTTGATCCCTTGTGGTTCAGAAACCCCAGTTCAGTTCCTCCTCTATCTCGTCCTTTCCTTCTC